GATAATCCAAACTACACAAAAAAAAGGTTACCTTCATTGAAAACCACATACCAACTAATCAGTAGACCCAGAACCATAAGAAAGATCTTGACTTGTCCTGTATTAGTTCAGATTGGCTGCACTTCCCATGTTTCCCTATCGGTCTTAGAGGTCCTCAATTACATATAGAACCAAGTGAGGGATCTAAGGTGGAGCCAGGTAAAAAAAAAAAAAAAAACTACAGATTTTCTTGGAACTTTAGATGTGAATTGTTGGGATCCATTGATCATTTTCCAGTGCAGGTTTTACAGGTAATCTTTACAATTTTCATTATATACGCTGTGTAAACTGGCCAGGTTTCTGGCAGGTTTGCTTCAAATGAAAACTATATATTAACATTCTAAAAACATTGTCTGTTGGAGTAGTTTGTAATAATGTATGTTAAATGGGGGCAGCCATATTTGCTCACTACTTGTGCACACTGCCTGTGCTTCAATGCTTCTATCCATCTATGCAAGTCTGTAGGCCAGGTTTGAATTATCTCAGAAGCCCATAAGCAAAGATGCTAATCCAACTGCATTCCAATTACAACTACGTAACAAAGACAATACCCAACATATGGAATATGTACAATATTAAATTTGCATCAACAACTTGGTAAATGTTACAATACCAACTGAAAGTATGCACTTTTTGAACACACAGTATAGTTTCCCTTTAAGGCTCCATGCACACGGGACGTTTTAATAACACTGGCAACGTTAGCTGTGTAAAGTCACATTAAAAATGTGAGTTTTTCAGCATTTTTTGCATTAGCGTTTAGCCTCGGTTTTTTTTACCCCCCCCCCCCCCCCCTTTTTTTTTTTTTGTAGTCAAAAAAAGTCCAAAAACGCCAGTGTACCACGTTTTTCAGCATTAGATCGTTTTTACAGCTAAAAAACTCCTCTAGAAACCCACTACTTCTGGATTTTTTTTCTTTCCAGACAAAAAACGCTGATTACAGCCTATGTGTGCATGGACACATAGGATAGCATGCTGGGGAGTTTACTGGCTGTAGAAAAAAAACGCCAAAAGCAGCCGCTGTAAAAACGTCCCGTGTTCATGAGGACGAGTTCTTGTACCTATAACCCTGGGAAAGTGGGACACACAATCAAAACTATTTTTTCTAAAAATAAAAGGCAGTGTCAGCAGAGCTTCACCTTTTTATATATGGCATTGACAAAGGGGTTGCTGTTATTCTACCGACTAGTAGTTACAATTCCCATATAAAGATTTTTTTTTCAGTGACCTGCTATGAAAAATGTTCTGTCGAGTTGTGCGCACGCAATGCCGACCTGACTCCGCCTTTTTGGTGAGATGTCTCAACATACTGGAATTTTGGTGTCTTGCATGTCCAAACTGATCACACAAGTGTGTAAGCTGTACAGTGTCCTAAATGAAACATAGAAACACACACAAGCCATCATATAGGATATAATATAGACACTGGAAAACATGGGGATCCAACAAACATGACCAATCCAAAGCACACTGGTTAGCATGTCGGAAGCATGTAGGCAGCGTCTGGTTTCCTGCTCAATGGACCAATGCACAGCATTCAAAGCACTGCGCATTGCAGACATATTGCTGTAAATTCATTGCACTTCTTAATCCCTGACCAGGGGGATCTGCAGTGTTCTTTGCTTTTAGCGGGAAGGATGGAGAGAGGTGTTAGGCATAAATGGACAATATTCCACAGTTTACATAGGGGATTAAAAGGGTCAAAGGCAACTCCACCCTGTTATTGATTGTCAATCTACAATGCTTACATAGTAAAAAAAAAAAAAAAAGGTCAATGCTAAGCAGGGCTTTATATGCTATTGTGGTGTCAGAGGCTACATTAATCTTAATACAAAACAGCAAGAGAACAACTTGGATAACAAAAAAAATAGAAACATTTAAAGCAGGGGCGGACTGACAACTCATGGGGCCCCGAGCAATGGGGGGATAATGGGTCCCCTATATCCTTGCCCAAACTCAAAAAAGCCTATGAAAAAGGTACCAGGGGCATCTCATGGGGACCCCTACTGATCCCGGGCCCTCGGGCAGTGCCTGAGTTTCCAAATGGTCAGCCTGCCGCTGATTAAAGTGAAAGTGAACGCCAATCCATTGCAGCCAATGATTGATCAGCTTTGAGCAATCTGGATTCAGTAAACTTCTACAAAGCAGATTGTGTCTGGCTGTGATGGATTTCAGAAAGGGCTGGATTTTGATTCTTGTTGGTCTTAGGCACTGCCTCTCATTGCTTTCCACTGAATGCAGATATACAGATGCCATGATATGGGCGGCACTTCGAGTAGTTTTTATGGGACAACAAAACATACTTCTGAGTGTCGCTTGTGCTTCTATAGGTGTCTTCAGTAATGTTACTGAAATACTGTTAAATTGAAAAAACGTTAAAGACACGGATGGAACTGGCATGCAATCATTGGCTCCGTGAGCCATTTTGGGAAAGCCTGTGTTTTGGTGGGCCTCTAGCAAGAGGAGGTCCTAGGGATGCATGAATGAATGAAAGCATGAGAGCCATGATGCAGACAGAAACTGTTCATAATTGATGTTTCCACCAGTCATCTTGAAAAAGCCTGCATTAATGGGATGTAGAGGGTGGTGATCCTGTTAAAGCATGTATTTTGTTCCCTTTCTTTGTAGGTGATACAAATGCCATAGGCTCAAGGTATATGTCTCCAATGTCTGGAAGGAGCTGCTCTTTGTACTGGGTGGGTAAATAAGCCAGACGGTCTCAGTGAAATGCCAGGGTAAGTAGGAATGACTGCACAAAAAGGCTTAAAATGCCTAATGGACCTGTTTGCTAAAGACAGCAATGGCAGCCAATTGGCGAGCTGAATCAATATGCAAAAAGCAGGCTTGAGTTACAAATACATAGCAGCTTTCTTAGTCTGTCTAGAGAAGAATGACAGTGGAGATTCTCTGCCCAACTACCTGGAATTCTACTTTAACAGCAATATGAGAAAACCAATCCATTAACCGACAGTGCTGCTTAGCGCCAGCCACAATAAATCAGTCCAATGTTTTGGCCCTAATGTGAGCCCTCTGTAATCCCTTGCAGCGTTCACACAGCTCCTCACTTGTTCAGTGGGAGGGTCCACTTCCTGAAGCCCATGCAGTTTATCGTCTTCTTTCCATGCTGTCACCAATCTTACAGGTCTTGCAGTCATTTTCAAACTCTGTAATGCAGGAGAGCCATTCCCAACTGCCACTACTAAAGGCTCCTTCTAGTCTCACAGGGAAAGCTTGATGTACCAAACAGATAAACAAAAGGGTTTCCCAGATCATCAACAAAAGAGAGCAGGATTGACTGGTGCACTACAGCTTTTCCTGGCTGAAAACTGAAACCGATAAGCAAGTAACTAAAATCTACTTTAAACTAGACTTGAACTCAAAATGTTAAGATTTACTTTTTGGGAATATTTATAAATATTCAGATTTTCCTCTTGTCTAGTATTCCTCCTGAAAAAATACCATTGTGCTTTCGGTGCTTTGAGCTTCATAACTGTGAGCCCACATTCCAAGATCATCTAAAGCACTGCTGCTCTGACTGTTAATCTCAGAAGATTTAGAGCAAGATTTGGTGAGGTAAGCATTGTGCTGCTAACTGTTCTCCCTTGCTGGACAGAAAGCTGTATCTGAGGACCTGCAGTGCAAAAATCTCCCTGCTTCTGCTTCATTAATTTGCTTCCTCCACCTCTCCTGCTGCTATTTGAATACTCCCCACCAGTCATCAGAGGGGCAGCTTTGACTCTACCAAGCTGGTCACCCACACAGAGACACATTGTAGAACAAGGTAAGTCCGTGATAGGGAAAAGATCAGCTGCAGGGAGCCTATAGGCAATACTGGTAACTAATCTATTGCTTGTCTTTTTTGGGCACAGTTTCCACAATCTTTAATGCTGTTCGATGACTCAGCCCACACAAATTCCTGCTCCAAGGTAGATAGGGAATGGATACTATTAAGTGACAAACCAGTAGAGAATATTTTGTTTCACAAGATGGTCAATGTATAGTGATAGATTACGTTCAGCACACAGAAATGTCTGTCCTCAAATAACAATGAATCCACATGACTGAACACTGGAGTAACACCCTGGGCAGTAAGAATATTCTAGTCACAGAAAGTATGTACAAAGTGCCTCTTGCGAGGCATATTCTAAACCTACTAACCAGTCCACAAATTACCTACTTTAAATCTGATAAGACAGGAACTGTTTAAATAGGCTTTCGGCAGCTATCTCGGTTCTAAAGGTTACATTTTTATATATATATATATACATACACACAATTTAACATAAAACTAGGTCAACACAACACTCCACAATGAGGATTTAAAAAAATATTATACATAAAACATTTTGATGACTGCAACCGAGATTCAGACATCATCATAAAAAGACCACATGTAAACTAGCCCCAGTCGCCAAGACTAAATGTGCAAGAACATGACAAGTCTTGTACCCTAAAGGAGCTGAGAAGAGAGGATTAGCACAAGTCAAGTCACATGAACAGAAACAAAATGGAGGACAGTAAAACACCTGTTATTAAATATTCGGGGGCATCTAAATAACCAGATACAAAAATATAGTTAATATAGAGGGGTAAGCACAGTGAGTAGGTCACTGAGAAGGAATAGGTATCGAAAGTGGAAGCATGTTGGCAAGAGGCCTTTTAACAATGAAACACATATTTTTAGGGGTCGATGAGCTTGAAATTTGCTTTGTGAAGTCGGGGGGAGCTTTCCCGTCATGGTTCGCAAAGATGACCTGGTTGCTGCAGAGAAAACGCCAAACCTTTACCCAGCAGTCCTAGAAAGTGTCATGTACAGTTGGTGGGGCTTTGAGGAGATGTACAGTAAGGCTTCTCTGTAAGAGGGAAAAAAAAGGTGCAGTTCTGCCCACATTAAGGGAACCTGGAAGGTTAGGACTGTCTCTGTGAAGTAAGAAGTCTTTTTCGGGGGCTCAGGTTTCCCATCACACTGCCGTTTCCTGGTCTTCCCTCTGAATCATTTGGTAGTGCTGTCTGTTCTCCAGGTAGGCAGCAAGTTCAGGGTCCTTCGCCTTCTCAGCTCGATTTTTTGGGGTGTCCCCCTGCAAGATATAGATGAAGAATGTTGTTTAAAGGGCAGTGCAAAAATCTGCTGTGCCCACACAGAGCAAAACAACAGGTTCACTTTGATGAAGACATTTGCAGATGCATATACATATCTATACCTGTCGCTGAGCTGCCAGTAGTTAAAGAAATGACACGTGCAAGAATGTAAGTCACAGCTTACACCGGGGTATGGACATCCCACATGTCACATGACATCTGTGTCTTGCCCACAGTCAAGCATGGTGGTGGGAGTGTCATGGTCTGGGGCTACATGAGTGCTGCCGACCACTGACACTGGTTCATTGACGAAACCATGAATGCCAATATGTACTGTGACATACTGAAGCAGAGCATGATCCCCTCCCTTCGGAGACTGAGCTGCAGGGCAGTAATCCAACAGGATAACGACCCCAAACACACCTCCAAGACAACCACTGCCTTGCTAAAGAAGCTGAGGGTAAAGGTGATGGACTGGCCAAGCATGTCTCCACACCTAAACCCTATTGAGCATCTGCGGGGCATCCTCAAACGGAAGGTGGAGGAGCGCAAGGTCTCTAACATCCACCAGCTCCGTGATGTCGTCATGGAGGAGTGGAGGAGGATTCCAGTGGTAACCTGTGCAGCTCTGGTGACCTCCATGTCCAAGAGGGGTAAGGCAGTGCTGGAAAATAATGGCGGCCACACAAAATATTGACACTTTGGGCCCAATTTGGAGATTGTCACTTAGAGGTGTACTCACTTTTGTTGCCAGCGATATTAGACATTAATGGCTGTGTGTTGAGTTATTTTGAGGGGACAGCAAATTTACATGTTATACAAGCTGTACACTGACTACATCACATTGTAGCAAAGTGTCATTTCTTCAGTGTTGTCACATGAAAAGATAGAATCAACTATTTACAAAAATTTGAGGTGGATTCACTTCTGTGAGATACTGTGTGTGTATATATAAATAAAATGTATTTATTTATTTCAGGTACTTATATAGCGCCGTCAATTTACGCAGCACTTTACATATATATTGTACATTCACATCAGTCCTTAACCCTCAAGGGGTGTACAATCTAAGGTCCCTAACTCACATTCATACATACAGATACTAGGGACAATTTAGACAGGAGCCAATTAACTTACCAGCATGTTTTTGGAGAGTGGGAGGAAACCGGAGTACCTGGAGGAAACCCACACAGGCACAGGGAGAACATGCAAACTCCAGGCAGGTGGTGCTGTGGTCGGGATTTGAACCAACGACCCTAGTACTGCCAGGCGGAAGTGCTAACCTTTTAGCCACTGTGCTGCCCATATATATATATATATATTTATTTTTAAACACAATTTATGTGTTTATAATTCATAATTATATTTACATTTTTTTCTGTACTTAGCAACTTAACAAAACTAAATGATCCATGCGCAGTGAACTTATCCATGGTTGCTATGGAATACTGTATATCTCTACTCCATGTACTACAGGCTTCATTTATATCACAATGTATCCAAAAATATACTGGCTTTCACATCCCTAAAATCAACTAAACCAACATATTCATCACATTTGGATTTTTAAAGGATGAGCTCACCATGTTCAGCAGCCCCACCTCCTTCTCTGTGACAGCAGGAAGGGGTTCCTCTCCCCTGCACCCACTGTCACATTTGGAATTGACGCTCTGTCTGCACAGATGCATCATTCATTCACAGGGATCGTGAATGAATAAACTACAAGTCCCATCTGTTACACACAGCAGCTGGACTTGTAGTTTCAATGGACTGTGATTGTGCTGATCAGAGCGGTCCTAGTCCACTCACTCTTCCTCCAGCTTTCAAACTGAAAGCCTGTACAGAGATATGGGCAGAAAGCTGGAGGCAGAGTGAGCAGGAGCCTGACATTTTACCGGCGATCCATAGATTCTGGGTACAATGCTTTGCAGGCTCCTGCAGAAAGAAAATAATAACAGCACATTGTTACCTGCAAAAATATGTGCATTTCATTTTTTTTTGTTAAAGTTAGCCTTAAGTACACTGATAAGTCATAGGTAATCTAGACTGGCTATGATTTATTGGTATCCTTAAAGTGTTACTAAACCCGCAACAGTAAAATCAGTCTGTATATGCAGTAAAGCATGCTTGTTATACTCACTGTGGAACCTAAGGGGTTAATTCTCCACATTGTGTAAAAAGGCTGTGTGATCCTGTCTTCTCTGATCCTCCCCTTCTTCTACTGTCCCCAATCCATCTACTGAGAGTACAGTGCTCTAGGAGGCACTCTGCACATGCTCAGTTCAGTGTGTATGGCTAGTGTGTTTTTTTTTTTTTTTTTTTTAGGATGGTGGATGTGATCAGCACAGGGCCAAATCAGCACTGTCCAGACACAGGGTCATGCAGCCTCATAGGTCACCAGTTTATTTAAAAGCAAAAAAGTGCATACTCACAAACCAAAGGGGATTAAAACAGAGATAAAGAATCAGTGGTGACGGTCCAAAGTAACGGGAGACTCTTATTGAAGCAGCTAACGCGTTTCGGGAGACATACTCCCTTCTTCAGAGCTGCCGAAACGTGTCAACCAACCTCAATAAGGGCCTGCCGTTACTTTGGACCATCACCACTAACTCTTTATCTCTGTTTTAATCCCCTTTGGTTTGTGAGTATGCACTTTTATGCTTTTAAATAAACTCATGTTACACTACGGTAATGCACGATGAGAGTGCGCCCTGTTTTTGCTTTTCTTTACCAGTACCAAGATTTCCCAATCTTCTAAGGCAGTGGTTCTCAACCTTCCTAATGTCGCGACCCTTTTATACAGTTCCTCATGTTGTGGTGACCCCCAACCATAAAATTATTTACCCAGTAATTATAATTCATGAGTGTCCTTTTACCTCCAATACTGCTGCTTTCAACACAGTGGCTGCTTTCTACAGAGCGGCTGCTCTACACAGCAGCTGCTTTCTACACATCGGAAATATGTGTTTTCCGATGGTCTTAGGCGACCCCTGTGAAAGGGTCGTTCAACCCCCAAAGGGGTCACGACCCACAGGTTGAGAACCACTGTTCTAAGGGCTGCACCTCAATGAATGACAGTTATAGTACCCCTAGTCAGCATGAAGATTTGAGCGCTGGTTTCGTTTTTTTTTTTGGGATAGCCTCATAGGTCAGTAAGAGGAGAATTAAAACTCCTCCTACAAGCTTAACCAGTGCTCTGCTGACCACTGATAGAAGTCACAAGAAAAGGTATTTAGCATTTTATATTTAATAAAATGATTGCATTCTTTTGTTCTGTGTACTGTGGAAGACCAGATATAATGAATGCAGGGACCTGGGTTTAGTAACACTGTAGAATCCGCAACTTCATTTAGAACAATCAATGTACAATGATAATGCAGATGCTGGCACTGTATGCAATCCCCTGTATCTGTGCCAGATGGTAAAATCAGAACGTTATTAGACACGATGCTGCTTGCCAACATGATAAAATAAAGAATGTACAGCTTGACACTAAACAGTGATTGATTGCAGAATTGTGAAAGGGAGATATTACATCTAATTAGAGAGGAATCCTGAGAAAACAATTAAATGGTGAGTGGAAGAGTGCCGAGCAGAGATTACAGCACACAGCGGAGAGCCTGTCTAGTGTTATATGGGACAGGCATTTAAATCATTGCAATTTTTGCCAAAATTCATTAAGTTCCATCTCTCTTCTCGCTCATGCTGGCACACCGCTGTCTGTACACTCCTCTTACAGTTATTGTATCTCCAAGAAAACGAGTCATTGCATTACCAGCAACACAGCAGGGAACGAGAAGTCTGACTGTAGAACATTGTACATTCAGGACAGTGGATGGGAAGGGATGTGCAATGGAGTACAGGGGCCATGCACCAAGGAACAGAAGTCAAGGTGCAGTTTTACACTGTATTGCAGAAAGCATGAATAGTTCGATGAGAACACAAAGCAGAGGTCCCTGGACTATCGTGCGTTTTCAGTTTGGAGAACCTAAACTGCACCAGCTGCGCATTGAGGTACCAGGATGAGATGCAGTATCAATGGCACACTGAGGGACTAGGGCTGGGGTGCAGTTTCAGCATTACACCCCATTATCACCGCTGAGCTGTAGGAACAGAAAATTGTTATAGAAATACTTTTATATATTATTTATTACAGGTACCTGTATATAATAAAATATTTACAAAAATGTGAGGGGTGGACTCACTTCTGTGAGATACTGCGTGTGTGTGTGTGTGTATATATATATATATATATATATATATATAAAAAAATGTATTTATTATTTATTTCAGGTACTTATATAGCGCCATCAATTTACACAGCGCTTTATATATATATTGTACATTCACATCAGTCCCTAACCCTCAAGGGGTGTACAATCTAAGGTCCCTAACTCACATTCATACATACACATACTAGGGCCAATTTAGACAGGAGCCAATTCACCTACCAGCATGTCTTTGGAGTGTGGGAGGAAACCGGATTACCTGGAGGAAACCCATGCAGGCACAGGGAAAACATGCAAACATCAGGCAGGTGGTGCAGTGTTTGGGGTTTGAACCAACGACCCTAGTACTGCCAGGCGGAAGTGCTAACCATTTAGCCACTGTATATACATAATTGATTTTAAGCAGAATTTGTTTGACAGGCTGTTCACATTTATTTATTTATTATTTTTTTCATTTATTTCAGGTACTTATATAGCGCCGTCGGTTTACACAGCACTTTACATATATATTGTACATTCACATCAATCCCTAACCCTCAAGGGGTGTACAATCTAAGGTCCCTAACTCACATTCATACATACACATACTAGGGACAATTTAGACAGGAACCAATTGACCTACCAGCATGTCTTTGGAGTGTGGGAGGAAACCGCAGTACCCGGAGGAAACCCACACAGGCACAGGGAAAACATGCAAACTCCAGGGAGCTGGTGCAGTTTTTGGGATTTGAACCAACTACCCTAGTACTGCCAGGAGAGTGCTAACCATTTAGCCACTGTATATACATAATTGATTTTAAGCAGAATTTGTTTGACAGGCCGTTCACATTTATTTATTTAATTTATTTCAGGTACTTATATAGCGCCGTCAGTTTACGCAGCACTTTACATATATATTGTACATTCACATCAGTCCCTAACCCTCAAGGGGTGTACAATTAAAGTCCCTAACTTGGGCCATACTAGGGCCAATTTAGACAGGAGCCAATTAACCTACCATTTGTGTGTTGAGGCCAAGCGCAACACAATCAAACTCATGCGTTAATACGCGTTCATTGTGAATGGCTGCACAGTGGATTGTAGAGCACTACACACTGCTGCGCACCACATCACATTTCGAAAAAAAAAAAGGTCATGCGTCGTCTTGTAATGAATGGGCTGCCTCAACACAACACACATTACCGCAAACCATAAGGTGCAATAATTATTTGATCACTTTAGTGTGAATGGGCTGTACAGGGGCAGTCCTCTGGCATTTTCTTTATAGAGCAGGGACTGATGTTACTGTACAGTATGTAAAGCACTGGGTATATTAGCAGCACTATATAAATACCTATAAAAATGTAAATAAATACTATTTTGGGTCATAAAGGGCCAATTATTTGTGATAAGTTAGTTGTTCCATCTCTGGCAATGAGGAAAGCAATCTCAGTACCAGCCTGTGTATGGAATGCACATTAAAACCTGTAGCTGCAGGGAAAGGGGGGGGGGCAGTTTTGGAAAGGGGGGGGAGTAGCTGCCTGCAGCTGTCTGGAATTCCTCAGCTTCTGTCTTAACCTTTCTCCCAACACTTCCCGTTCTCTCACCCCCCCTCAGTCTCACACCCCTACCAATCGCCTCTGTACCAGCAGCTGTCACTGCTCTGGTGGGGGCAATATCCACAGGAGGGGGGGGGGGTCACAGGCAAGGCAGGGGTACAGCTGGACTCATTACCACAATGGGCCCCATGTGAGGACATAAAGCCCATCACACCTATGAGCTCTTTGTCTAAACAGCACTAACAAATGTCTGAAATTGGAACAGCCTGAGTTCCCTGTAACAACAAATCAGCTTTTCCCTTTTGTTTTTAGATCTGCACTACCAACATGAAAAGGGACAGGCTGACTGCTTTGCACATCTACATCCAAACACAAGGCCCATGTTTCAAACAGAAATGGTGTGCCGTATTCCATATCAATCGAGCATACATTGGTTTTCATGAGTCTGACCAATCTAAACTGCAAACTGAATTGTAATTGGTTGCTTTGGCTTACATATTTTAACCCACAACTGTATACAGGTGAAACTCGAAAAATTAGAATATGGTGCAAAAGTTCATTTATTTCAGTAATGCAACTTAAAAGGTGAAACTAATATATGAAATAGACTCATTACATGCAAAGTAAGATAGTTCAAGCTGTGATTTGTCATCATTGTGATGATTATGGCTTACAGCTCATGAAAACCCCAAATCCACAATCTCAGAAAATGAGAATATTGGGAATAAGGTGCAATATTCTCAGCTCAAAGTGTCCCACTCTAATCAGCTAATTAAGCCATAACACCTGCAAAGGGTTCCTGAGCCTTTAAATGGTCTCTGTCTGGTTCAGTAGGAATCACAATCATGGGAAAGACTGCTGACCTGACAGTTGTGCAGAAAACCATCATTGACACCCTCCGTAAGGAGGGAAATCCTCAAAAGGTAATTGTAAAAGAAGTTGGATGTTCCCAAAGTGCTGTATCAAAGCACATTAATAGAAAGTTATGTGGAAGGGAAAAGTGTGGAAGAAAATGGTGCACAAGCAGCAGGGATGACCGCAGCCTGGAGAGGATTGTCAGGAAAAGGCCGTTCAAAAGTGTTGGGGACTTTCACAAGGAGTGGACTGAGGCTGGAGTCAGTGCATCAAGAGCCACCACACACAGACGGATCCTGGACATGGGCTTCAAATGTCGTATTCCTCTTGTCAAGCCGCTCCTGAACAACAAACAACGTCAAAAGCGTCTTACCTGGGCTAAAGAAAAACAAAAAAACAGACCTGGTCTGTTGCTCAGTGGTCTAAAGTCCTCTTTTGTGATGAGAGCAACTTTTCCATCTCATTTGGAAACCAAGGACCCAGAGTATGGAGGAAGAATGGAGAGGCACACACTGCAAGATGCTTGAAGTCCAGTGTGAAGTTTCCACAGTCTTTATTGATTTGGGGAGCCATGTCATCTGCTGGTGTTGGTCCACTGTACTTCATTAAGTCCAGGGTCAACGCAGCCGTCTACCAGGAGATTTTGGAGCACTTCATGCTTCCTTCCGCAGACGAGCTTTATGGGGACGCTGACTTCATTTTCCAGCAGGGCTTGGCACCTGCCCACACTGCCAAAAGCACCAAAACCTGGTTCAATGACTGTGGGATTACTGTGCTTGATTGGTCAGCAACTCGCCTGACCTGAACCCCATAGAGAATCTATGGGGCATTGCCACGAGAAAGATGAGAGACATGAGACTGAACAATGCAGAAAAGCTGAAGGCCGCTATTGAAGCATCCTGGTCTTCCATAACACCTCAGCAGTGACACAGGCTGATAGCTTCCATGCCACGCCACATTGAGGCAGTAATTGCTGCAAAAGGGGCCCAAACCAAGTACTGAGTACATATGCATGCTTATACTTTTCAGAGGTCCGATATTGTTCTATGTACAATCCTTGTTTTATTGATTGCATGTAATATTCTAATTTTCTGAGATTGTGGATTTGGGGTTTTCATGAGCTGTAAGCCATAATCATCACAATGATGACAAATCACGGCTTGAACTATCTTGCTTTGCATGTAATGAGTCTATCTCATATTAGTTTCACCTTTTAAGTTGCATTACTGAAATAAATTAAATTTTGCACGATATTCTAATTTTTCGAGTTTCACCTGTATTGTCATTATTTAAAAAACCAAAGTGATATGCTAAACTGTATTTTTAGTGAAAAGCAGAAAGCAGTTTTTTTTTTTCTTTAGCCCAGGTAAGACGCTTCTGATGTTGTTTGTTGTTCAGGAGCGGCTTGACAAGAGGAATACGACATTTGAAGCCCATGTCCAGGATCCGTCTGTGTGTGGTGGCTCTTGATGCACTGACTCCAGCCTCAGTCCACTCCTTGTGAAAGTCCCCAACACTATTGAATGGCCTTTTCCTGGCAATCCTCTCCAGGCTGCGGTCATCCCTGCTGCTTGTGCACCATTTTCTTCCACACTTTTCCCTTCCACATAACTTTCTATTAATGTGCTTTGATACAGCACTTTGGGAACATCCAACTTCTTTTGCAATTACCTTCTGAGGCTCTCCCTCCTTATGGAGGGTGTCAATGATGGTTTTCTGCACAACTGTCAGGTCAGCAGTCTTTCCCATGATTGTGATTCCTACTGAACCAGACTGAGAGACCATTTAAAGGCTCAGGAACCCTTTGCAGGTGTTATGGCTTAATTAGCTGATTAGAGTGGGACACTTTGAGCTGAGAATATTGCACCTTTTCACAATATTCTCATTTTCTGGGATTATGGATTTGGGGTTTTCATGAGCTGTAAGCCATAATCATCACAATTATGACAAATCACGGCTTGGACTATCTCGCTTTGCATGTAATGAGTCTATCTCATATTAGTTTCACCTTTTAAGTTGCATTATTGAAATAAATTACATTTTGCACGATGTTCTAATTGTTCGAGTTTCACCTGTATTGTCATTATTTAAAAAACCAAAGTGATATGCTAAACTGTATTTTTAGTAAAAAGCAGAAACTGACCATTTTTCATATAACTGTCTCCCGGTATGTAATACTGTGAACAATGCTGTACTGGAAAATTAACCTCTTCAATACTAGAAGCCTGCCAGAGTGACAGTATTCTGTGCCTTGGTTCTCTCCACCTCTAAATTCCTCAGTACAGCCACACCTGTATGTCTACACATCAGCACTACCCCAACCCCCAGCTTACCTGTAAGTCTGTCTTCATGAGCGATGCTCCGGCCTCCACTATATAATGACAGATGGTCCGCTGACGTAAGGATGCCGCAAGGTGCAAACCTGTCTCGCCGCTGCAACACAAAAAGATTAGGAAGAAGACACTTGTAAGGTCTATGATCTAAGCCTCATACAATGCTGTTCAAAGCACTTTGAAATCATGTCTGTAACTTTTCAAAGCAAAGTTCCATCTTTCTTTTAAAGTAAACGCCATCTTTGCGTCAAATGTAAAGTTCACACCTTAATGCTGGCACTTGCAGATGCTTATACTTTATATTGCTAAAAGTTTGTGAACACCTAACAACCACACCTATATGAGCTTAGGACATCTCATTAGAAGACCATTACCATGATTATGTAGTTGCCCCTCCTCATGGCTACAACAGCTCTTCTGGGTAGGGTTTTTTAAGTGTGTCGGTGGGAATTTCTGCCCATTCAGACAAAGGAGCATTTGTGAGGTCAGACACTGATGTTGGATGAGAAGACCTGGCCTTCAATCGGTGTTCCAATTCAGTCCAAAGGAGTTCAGTAGGGCTGAATCAGGGCTCTATGTAGGACACTCTACTTCAGTGGTCTCCACTGTGGCCCAAGGGCAAGATGTGGCCCTTTGCCAGCCTTTATCCAGCCCTTGGGGCATTATTCCTCCCACTGATTTGAGGAACTGTTCTTAATACTGAAACCAACAGTGGGGCATAATTCGCCCAACTAACAGCAAGGATGGGGCACTCTTCCTCCCATAATATTAATGATTGAGCACTATTCCATCCACTGAAACTAATGACTGGGCACTATTCCTCCCATTGATAGCAATGATGGGGCACTATTCATCCCACCAATACCAATGATGGGGCACTATTCATCCCAGTAATACCAATGATGGGGCACTATTCATCCCAGTAATACCAATGATGGGGCACTATTCATCCCAGTAATACCAATGATGGGGCACTATTCATCCCAGTAATACCAATGATGGGGCACTATTCATCCCAGTAATACCAATGATGGGGCACTATTCATCCCAGTAATACCAATGATGGGACACTCTACTTCAGTGGTCTCCACTGTGGCCCGAGGGCAAGATGTGGCCCTTTGCCAGCCTTTATCCAGCCCTTGGGGCATTATTCCTCCCACTGATTTGAGGAACTGTTCTTAACACTGAAACCAACAGTGGGGCATTAATCGCCCAACTAACAGCAAGGATGGGGCACTAAATCCCACTAATATTAATGATTGAGCACTATTCCATCCACTGAAACTAATGACTGGGCACTATTCCTCCCAGTAATACCAATGATGGGGCACTATTCCTCCCACCAATACCAATGATGGGGCAGTATTTATCCCAGTAATACCAATTATGGGGCACTATTCCTCTCATTGATAGCAATGATGGGGCACTATTCATCCCAGTAATACCAATGACGGGGCACTATTCCTTCTCCTACTGACCACAGGCACTATGCAAATGAACACTACACCTGAGGCATTGCTTACGCTCATTGATGCCCGGCCTAGAACATTTTCTACCCCCACTGGCCACAATCTGGCCGTCCAAAAGACTGAAGGACAGTAAACTGGCCCTTTGTTTGGAAAATTTGGAGACCCCTGCTCTAGTTCCTTCACACCAAACTCATCAAACCATGGCTTTATGGAGGTAGCTTTGTGCACAGTCATGCCGGAACAAGGACCTTTGACAAGTGGTTATCACAAGGTTGGAAGTGCACAATTGTCTAAAATGTCCTTCCGTGCTGTAGCAATAACATCGCCCTTCACTGTAAATACCTGAACATTTGGAGGCTTTTAGCCATCTCGTGTAGGTACAATAGTCAGATATCCACAACCTTTAGCTATATAGTGTATTTACCTCCATTGACTCCCTCACCACTCTGCTAGCCTAGGGAAGCAGCATAAAAATAGCCAGTCCTTCCCGGCATGGGGCAGCATGTGAATCGCACTCCTTCGTAATGTAATAGAGCTGGTGCTTTGCGACTATACTAAGGAACTCTAAACTCCTTTTGCTCCTCCAATTTCTTTTTAATAAAACAAAGCCATGTTTTCCCTTAATTATAAAGGCTGCTTTTATGTGATGCGGTGTGTACTACACCGCGGAAGCAGCGCACGGGTTTGGTGTGGGTTAGCTGTGCTTTTCTATAGAGTTCCAATAGGTCTTGCAGTTTTGAAAAGCGCATCAAAACTCCTGCATGCTGCATCTTTGGTGTGCTTTCCCTTCTGTGGTCCAGACTCCTCCACATCCCCACCCTGTGTGTGGACAATAAAAGGAGAAGCAGCATACTGATGAGGTCATCTCGCTGTCACTCTGCATTCTCCTCCTATTAGCATGTCTCTTGTACTGCAGCACAAGTGATTGGTGACTTGTACCGCTTCTCCCTCCCCCAGTCTGAGCTCTGTTGTACAGGGACTGTAAGAAGTTGATACCAAGTCACATTCAGGTAGTTACACTGCTTGCAAAGGAAAAAAAAATACATTTCACTATAGAATGCGGAGTTGAATTAGTGTTTTTTTTTTTTTTTATAACTGCCTGGAGTTTAGCTTTAAGAATACATGAGGTGACTATACACTTCAGAATCCCCCCCCCCCCCAAAAGAAAATCCAAAATACTGGTTTTGGGAGGACTGAACTGATTGGCTGGATTTTAACAACATAATTCTTCCATTGTACAGGAGACAGATGTTCCACGGCTGATGTATACCTAGAGGTAAAAACCTCAAAAGCTATGCTGATGTCACAGAAACTACCCTTTTAGAGGCAATTAACTTTCATTGCTTCAGGAATAAAAATCCTCCTTTAAGCCTTTTTAGACATTAATGTCACTTTAAACACCCATGACTCAGCAAACAGCCCACGAAGTGATTTTTGGCAGCCACTCAGTCCAACTTACTTCTTGAGCTCTGTAACATCCAGAATTTCAGATGGAGCTGGAGGAAGAGAAAAAAAAAAAAACATTGAGACGAAAAAAAAAAAAATATTGAGACATGTGAGGCGTGTGAAAGACAAAAAGTGAGAATGTTTTCAGGGCTAGTATGGTGTATTTTTAGTGAGTGAGCTGTTCTGATTGAACTGGTTACCAAGTCATTTTTATGTGATATAGCATTTGTTGTTGATACAACTTTCTATATTTTTTTCAATGTATAAAAGTATGTGTAATGCCAAAATGATTTGAATAAAATGTGCAAGAGTTAGAACCCCTGTCAGGTTTTTGTTGCTAAAAGAATCGGAGATTAAAGTGCCACACCACCAATTAATCATCCAGAAGCAAAGCTATTCCAGTGTAGGATCAAACAAAGCCAATGCCAATACTTCGAGGGGCCAGGAATTGCCATGATATACCATATACATTGGGGCTGATTGACCAAAACTGGAGAGTGCAAAATCTGGTGCAGGAGTTGCACTTGATTTTGCACTCTCCAGTTTTAGTAAATCAACCCACTGTATTCTTTAGCCAGTCCAGGCTATATGGCGGCCATTTGGCACTTTTTGTGTGGCTCTTGGGGTCACTGCAGACACTAATCTAAATGGGGCAGCACAGTGGCTAAATCGTAAGCATTTCCGCCTGGTAGTACTCGGGTCGCTGGTTTGAATCCCAACCACGGCACCACCTGCCTGGAGTTTGCATGTTCTCCCTGTGCCTGCATTGGTTTCCTCCAGGTCCTCCGGTTTCCTTCCACATTCCAAAGACATGCTTATAGGTTAATTGGCTCCTGTCTAAATTGTCCCTAGTATGTGTATGTATGAATGTGAGTTAGGGACTTTAGATTGTACGCCCCTTGAGGGTTAGGGACTGATGTGAATGTACAATATATATGTAAAGTGCTGCGTAAATTGACAGCGCTATACAAGTACCTGAAATAAATAATAAAATAAACTGTGTTTCTCTATTGTCCTGTAATAGTAGTGATTTTGCACAGTCTCATGTAATATGTCTCCAGTCTGCGAATGTCTGCTAAAGCATGTCCCCAGGCTGCAACAATAGTAGGTTCCCAATCTCAGAGTCTCCTTCAGTATGTTGATAGTCTCTGATCATCTGTTCAATTATATCTGCAATCTCCTGTACCACGTTTGCAGACTCTGACCATTTCTTGTTTCATGTCTGCAGTCTCTGACCATCTCCTGTATCGTGTCTGCAGTCTCTGACCATCTCCTGTATCGTGTCTGCAGTCTCTGACCATCTCCTGTATCGTGTCTGCAGTCTCTGACCATCTCCTGTATGGTGTCTGCAGTCTCTGACTATCGCCTGTATCGTGTCTGCAGTCTCTGACCATCTCCTGTATCGTGTCTGCAGTCTCTGACCATCTCCTGTATCGTGTCTGCAGTCTCTGACCATCTCCTGTATGGTGTCTGCAGTCTCTGACTATCGCCTGTATCGTGTCTGCAGTCTCTGACCATCTCCTGTATCGTGTCTGCAGTCTCTGACCATCTCCTGTATCGTATCTGCAGTCTCTGACCATCTCCTGTATCATGTCTGCAGTCTCTGACCATCTCCTGTATCGTATCTGCAGTCTCTGACCATCTCCTGTATCATGTCTGCAGTCTCTGACCATCCATATCCTGTATCGTGTCTGCAGTCTCTGACCATCTCCTGTATCGTATCTGCAGTCTCTGACCATCTCCTGTATCATGTCTGCAGTCTCTGACCATCTCCTGTATCGTGTCTGCAGTCTCTGACTATCGCCTGTATCGTGTCTGCAGTCTCTGACCATCTCCTGTATCATATCTGCAGTCTCTGACCATCTCCTGTATCGTGTCTGCAGTCTCTGACTATCGCCTGTATCGTGTCTGCAGTCTCTGACTATCGCCTGTATCGTGTCTGCAGTCTCTGACTATCGCCTGTATCGTGTCTGCAGTCTCTGACCATCTCCTGTATCATATCTGCAGTCTCTGACCATCTCCTGTATCGTGTCTGCAGTCTCTGACCATCTCCTGTATCGTGTCTGCAGTCTCTGACCATCTCCTGTATCATGTCTGCAGTCTCTGACCATCTCCTGTATCGTGTCTGCAGTCTCTGACCATCTCCTGTATCATGTCTGCAGTCTCTGACCATCTCCTGTATCGTGTCTGCAGTCTCTGACCATCTCCTGTATCGCATCTGCAGTCTCTGACCATCTCTTATATCATGTCTGCAGTCTCTGACCATCTCTTATATCGTGTCTGCAGTCTCTGAACATCTCCTGTATCGTGTCTGCAGTCTCTGACCATCTCCTGTATCGTGTCTGCAGTCTCTGACCATCTCCTGTATCGTGTCTGCAGTCTCTGCCCACCTCCTGTATCGTGTCTGCAGTCTCTGACCATCTCCTGTATCATGTCTGCAGTCTCTGACCATCTCCTGTATCGTGTCTGCAGTCTCTGACCATCTCCTGTATCGCATCTGCAGTCTCTGACCATCTCTTATATCGTGTCTGCAGTCTCTGACCATCTCTCTTATATCGTGTCTGCAGTCTCTGAACATCTCCTGTATCGTGTCTGCAGTCTCTGACCATCTCCTTTATCATGTCTGCAGTCTCTGACCACCTCCTGTATTGTGTCTGCAGTCTCTGACCATCTCCTGTATCGTGTCTGCAGTCTCTGACTATCGCCTGTATCGTGTCTGCAGCCTCCGACCATCTCTTTTTAAATGCCTACAGTCTTTGACTATATCCTGTTGTGTCTGCTGTCTCTGGCACTGAATATTTCCTGAATTTTATGCGCGGCCCTTTAGTGATATCAGGGGCCACATTTGAGGCCCCCTGCATCAAGAAAGTTGACCACCACTAATATATTGTACATTGTTCCTCTTCAAGTCCATCTAGCAGTCACGATTTGGTTGATATTTTTCCACTTTCTTGAGCTGGGTGGTGCTTGCAGTGCCAACCACATGTCGAGTTTCAGCAGAAATCTGCTGGATTTGGAAGTGTCCATGGCTAGACTAAGAGGGGTTATCTCCTCACTTTGGAGAGATCTCGTCTTACTTCCAGGAAGGAAAAGAACATTTTACCACTGGGTTACAGACAGCCTGATGGGGGGTCTTAACCATTACCTATTCTATCCAAAACATGAAAAAAAATGTATTTTGGCTGTATATACACTTAAAATGTAAATGTTAGCAGATCAATTAAGCTGGCCATACACTGTGCAAATTTGACTGATAAAATTTTGGTATGCTCATGAATCAAGTGCTACAAAAAAAAAATTGCCAGCTGAACACATTTGGCTAAAGTTCGCCATACATGTTACAATCTGACTGTACAACCTGTTACAATCCCCCTTGGATTTTCCAAATGATGTAATATGTGGATCTACCTAAACTATCCAAATTGTTTGTATTCAGTCAGGGAGGCCCTTGTACTATGTAGTTGTTAGGAGTTCTAAAAGACATTGTACACCTGTAATGTGTGTGGTGAGGAGTAAGTTGTGGTTGGCGATTTAAATCATGATATTGACTCTACAAGCACTTACCGTGCTCAATAAGGTGCTTGACGATCTCCTTACTTCCAGCATTCACAGCGTGATGTAATAGTGTGCAGCCATCAATGTCCCGCTGAGCCAAGTTCCCCCCAGCACGATGAGCCTCCCGAAACTAAGAGAAGCACAGGGTAGAGAAGGAGATTAAAAAAAAAATGTTTTGACAATCATTACAAAGTAATGTAAACCTCAGACATGAAATATGAACAAAGCATATCGCTCTATAGTGTGTACTTGTCTCAAGAGCACTAAGTGTCATTTCTGTCTGCTGCTTCATTCCTCTGCGTGAATCACTATTCCCAAAATTTCCTGACGACAAGGGAAAAAATGGAGCTCCAGCTGATTGGCAGCCTTGGCTCTGTTCCTGTGTGCTGTGTGGAGGGGGTGTGTCCCTTCCTTCCAATCAGCTCTCAGAGCTCTCCTCACTGAGCTCTGTAGTGTGTAATTTCAGCTCTCCTCCCTGTTTCCTGAACTCTCAGACAAGCTTCTGGTCTTTGAACAGCTATAGATAAAAGCTAGCTACAGGTAAATAGGTAGAACTTACATAGGAGGATTTATTTAATCTCTGTGTATCACCTGAGGTCAGTCACTTCACTGGATATATGTCCTTGGCGTCATTCTTGACTCGAACCTCTCCTTCCAACCTCATGTCAAATCACTTACAAACACATGCAGGCCCCACCTCCGCAACATTGCCAAGATACGTACCTTCCTTACCCCAGACACCACCAAACTTCTAGTACACTCCCTCATCATCTCACGCCTTGACTACTGCAATTCTCTTCTCACTGGCCTACCCCAGTGCAGGCTCTCCCCGCTCCAGACCATCCTGAACTCAGCGGCTAGACTCATCCACCTCACCACCCGCTCCACCTCTGCCACCCCCCTCTGCCTCTCCCTCCACTGGCTCCCGATTGCCCAACGCATCAAATTTAAACTTCTAACTCTGACCTACAAAGCCGTTCATAACACTGCCCCTGACTACCTCACCAACCTGATCCCCAAGTACCGCCCTACCCGTACCCTTCGCTCCTCACAGGACCTCCTTCTATCCTGCTCCCTGGTCTCCTCCTCCCATGCACGACTGCAAGACTTCTCCAGGTCCTCCCCCCATCCTCTGGAACTCACTGCCCCAATCCATCAGACTGTCGCCTTCCCTCCTCACATTCAGGCGCTCCCTCAAAACTCATCTCTTCAGGGAAGCCTACCCCACCCTCACCTAACGGCCATTCTCCCTCTTTCCTCCCACCACTTCATTACCCTCAGCCACTTCCTACTGTACCACTACCCCCTCCCTCCTAGATTGTAAGCTCGAAAGGGTAGGGCCCTCTTACCCCCCGTACATTGTTTGTTATTGTTGTACTGTGCCATGTATTGTCCCCCCTATATTGTACAGCGCTGAGCAAACCCTTTGGTGCTATATAAACTCGATGTAATAATAATAATAATAATATATGTAAGGGTTTACAACCACTTTAAATATTATATTTATTTTGCCTATATTTTTGCTTCCTTGCTTCCTTGGTTCCTCCTCATCATGCTAATGACATTTTTAAATAAAACCTGTTTTCATTACATACCTTATTTGAAACCACGTAATATCATATTTAGCCGAACATTTTACAGCACGCTTCTTCTACAAAAATCGATCAAATATTTGCCAAATGGAGTAGGGCCATCCACTAAGTGAATCTGCATAGTATGTGGCCAGCTAAAAGCAGAACTAAACCCTCAAAATACTCAGTTCTATCTTCCAGGAATGCAGAAGATACAACCCTCACCGGCCGCTGTCATCTTCTTCCTGGATACTTTTGGATGTGGGGTTTTCTGCCTCTTGATTGGCTGGTAAGGGAAGGACGTCATCCTGCGCATGCGCATGGGAGTCAGTCATTCCAGCACAGCTGCAATACACTGAGCTGCGCTTCTCAGTGCACACTCAATAGAAGACTGCGGAGCAGGCAGGTGTTACTACAGGAACATAGTGTCTCTTCTGCAATAAAGAGCTGTCTGCTTGCAGTTTTTCACTAGTTACATATAGTTCCACCTTAAAGATCTGTATTTTTAAAAAATGACAGGTATTTTCAGCTGAGATCAATGAGATTTTAACCACTTGCCTGCCGCCCCAAAGCAGATGTACTGCTACAGGGAGACTGCGCTGTGCAAAATCACACAAATATATGTCGTTTTGCATTTCCAAGTAGGGGATACATGTGCTGCCCTACCCGGGCTGCTATTGGCTCCTGAGGATGTCAATCATTCGGTGATTGTCGGCAAAGCTGAGAGGGGAGAGAACTGTGAGTAAACAACACAGGTCCCTCTCCTGTCAACATAGAAGTCTCTGCTGTGCAGAGAGATAGAAAGCAGCAGGTCTCCTTAGCAAAACAGCACAATAAAAACACTTCCTAACACACAGTTAACCCTTTGATCGCTCCAGATGTTAACTTCCTGCCCAGTGTCATTAGTACAGGGAGTGCTTTTTATTAGCACTGATCACTGTATTAGTGTCACTGGAAATGTCAGTGGCAGGTAGTCAGTTCCCACCCAGTGTCAGAATGCCCGCTGCAGTCCCGCTATAAGTCACAGATCGCCGCCATTACTAGTATAAACTAGAAAAAAAAAAAAATTCCAGTATATATACCGCCATTTGTTGACGCTATAACTTTCACGTAAACCAATTAACATTCAATTATTGGGATTTTTTTTTGCAAAGACATGTAGCAGAATACATTTTGGCCTAAATTTATGAAGACATTTTCTTTTAATTCTTTTATTGGATATGTTTATAGCAAAAAGTCAAAAGTATTGTTTTTTCTTTCAAAATTGTCAGTCTTTTTTTGTTTATAGTGCAAAAAAAATAAAAACCGCAGAGGTGATCAAATACCACCAGAAGAAAGCTCTATTTGTAGGGAAAGAAATGACATAAATTTAATTTATGTACAGCGTTACATGACCGCGCAACTGTCAGTTAAAATAATGTGGCGCCGGAAAGCAAAAAATGGTCTGGTCAGGAAGGAGGGATAAACTTCCGGAGGACAAATCGTTAAAAATTACAGTCATATAATAAAGATTATTTTTTTTTCTAATAAATTTTTGTGAATTTAAAGTGTTACTAAACCCAAGACCCTGCATTCACTATGTCTGGTCTCCCATAGTACACACAACATGGAAATGACATTATTTTAGTAAACATAAACTACTAAATACTTTTTCTCATCAGCAGTTAGAGCAGTCTTGTGACTTCTATCAGTGTTCAGCAGAGCACTGGTTAAAGCTTGTAGGAGGAGTTTTCTTTCTGCTCTAGGAGGATGCAGAACCCCTGACCTCTGTCTGGACAGTGCTGATTGGCCCTGTGCTGATCACATATACTCTCCCAAAAAAAAAACAACAACCTCTCTAGCAATGCACACTAAACTGAGCATGTGCATAAGGGCTACGGCTTCAGTCTTTTATATCATTTGAACAAGAGGAGGGGCAGAGAAGACAGAATCAAACAGCCTTTTTACACAATGCAGAAGATTAACCCCTTAGGTTCCACAGTGAGTATAACAAGCATGCTTTACTGCATATACAGACTGATTGTACTGTTGAGGCTTTAGTAACACTTTAATCTCTAATGTCAAACGAACTGCATACCTTTTCAATATCATCACCTTTTGCAGCTTCCAGTAAACCTTCATCTAAAAAAAAAAATGAGAAATTGAATATGCACAAAGTAAACATTTTCTCTTAAAAAAATCTTTAATTGTGATAGGAAAGAAATGTGCCCTTTGCCTCGTATTGATAAACAGAATAAACTCGCATAGTCAGTCCTACGAAAATAATAGTATCTGGAATGGCCGTGGATAAACCACACCTCATTACCAATCACTCACATAGAAATAACTGATAAACAGGGATTTTATATGCTCACCTGGCTGGTAGTCTGAGATGTCATTTTCTGTCCTTTTAAAAAGAGAGAGAGGGTAAAAAATGTATCTATATAAATAATACAGGTTTATTTTAACTCAGCATATGTAATCAATGAAAAAGTGCAAATTGCTGAAAATGTTACCAGTCCAGGAACGTCTTGTAGTCTAGTCACATGACCAATGTCGAGGCACTGGTCATATGGTCTCCGCTAAATAAAAGATGTTCAGGCACAGCCAGCAACTTTCCAGCTCTGCCATCTATGACCCCTTGCCAGAGACCTTTCCACAAGCAGAGACCAAGTGAGAAGTGCCTTAGCACTAATGTGATTGGTGCATATATATTTGTATATGAGTTTGGAATCTGATTGTTTGATTGCTCATGTGGACAGGTGTCTTTTATACAGGTAACAAAAAGATTAGCAGCACTCCCTTTAAGAGACTTCTTCTAATCTCAGCTTGTTACCTGTATGAAAGACACCTGCACATGCGTGAGTAGTGCTGTGCTTCGCTTCGTGATTGGCCCCGTCGTCTTCTGGGATCTGCCACATGTCCCACAAGACTTCGAAGACTTTGGGGAGGGAGGGGGGAAGACAACTTCCGTTTCTGATCGCCTAGGCAATCGCAGTAGAAGTGGGAGTGGGTACCTGTCAAATTCAGGTACCCCCCCCCCCCGCTCCCCAAAGGTGCCAATCCTTAATGGGGAGTGGGGGACCAATCTTTAAAGCAGAACTTCCCCTTTTGGGTGGAACTCCGCTTTAAGGTAGTATTTCACAATGTGCTAGTGTGCAAAGGCACATTATTCCTTTACCTTGCAGGGGAAAATCTTTTTTTTTTAGGTTTACTACCACTTTAAAGGTTTGTGTTAAAATCCAATTGAACTTTCAGTTTAAATGAACTAAATATATTCCAGGTTGCATCAAATCAAAAGGTGTGCCAAAAAATTACATTCTGCTTTCTTCACAAAGCAGCCATAGCCTGAATTGAAAAGCCTGTCCCCTGCCAGCATGCTCTTCTTGCTCTTTACACCTCTTGCTGCATTCCAGCAGTTTCTGACCACCACTTGCAACATTATTGCAGTCTCTGACTACCTTTTGCTGCATTCCTGTAGTCTGACCACCTCTGCAGCATTTCTGTCATCTCAGATCACCTCTAGCAGCATTCCTGTAGTCTCTGACCACCTCCTATAGCATTCCTGTAGTCTCCTGCCACCTCTTGCAGCATTCTTGTAGTCTCTGACAACCTCCTGTAGCATTCTGGTAATCTCTGACAACCTCCTGCAGAATTCCTGTAGTCTGTTGCCACCTCTTCCAGCATTTCTGTATTCTCTGATAGCATTCATGTAGTCTTACCACTTCCTGTAGTGTTTATGCAGTCTCTGACCACCTCTTGTAGCATTCCTGTGGTCTTTGATCTTCTCTCGTAGCATTCCAGCAGTCTGATCATCTCTTGCTGAATTCCTGCAGTCTCTGACCACCGCTTGCAGCATACCTGTAGTATCTGACCACCTCTTTTAACATTCCTGTAGTCTCTGACCATCTCTTGCAGCACTCCTGTAGTATCTGACCACATCCTGTAGCATTCCTGTAGTCTCTGGTCACCATTTGCAGCATTTCTGGCAACCTCTTGTAGAATTCCTAGAGTCTTTGACCATCTCTTGCAGCTTTCCAGTAGTCTCTGACCACCTCTTGTAGCATTCCTGTAGTCTATGGCCATCGCTTGTAGCATTCCTACAGTCTCCGACCACACACTGTAGCGTTCCTGTAGTCTCTGACCATCTCTTGTAGCATTCCTACAGTCTCTGACTATGCACTGTAGCATTCCTACCGTCTCTGACCACCTCCTTTACCTTTTGGTAAAGTAAAGGGCCACACTTAATGCCACCAATATGAAGAAAGTTGACCACCACTGAAATACAGCAATAGGTTAACCTATAGGTTATTTAATTTTCCAGCATCTACTTTCTAGCATCTACCAGAAAATGTAAAAATGTCAGTTTTCAGCAGACTAGCCTTTACAAAATGTCACCTCCTTTATTTTATTTATTTTGAAGAACCTCATTTAGACACAGGAAGTTTAGATTTTCTCCATTATTGTAGAACTCAGCCAGGGTGACTAAGACAATCAGGATTTTAACATGTCTATTACCCATCAGCACCAGGCCACAGCGATAATACGGCCAGCCGCCCCAAGCGGTTTATAGATTGCCTTGTGTAATAAGTATGAAGGATGATTTGCTTTGTTTATACATTTCTATTAGGACCAGATGCCGGTTGAACATGTACGCATGCAAAACCATATCATTAAATCTCTCCACTTGTAAATCCTTCTGTATTATTTACATGCCACAAACTTTAAGACTGGAATTAGGAGGCCCACAAACCAAATGATAAAAATGCATTGCTGGCTGGCGAGGGAAAAGGGTCTAAAGACATCGGCAAATCTAAAAGGCCAATCATCTGCTATCCTTTAAAAGCTGCTAATTTTGGTATTGTGTATCTTCCCTTCTTTATTTTAAGCACAATTCTGTTTTATTTTATAAGAGAACCACACATTCATTGTAGATTATTTGGTAATCAGTAAAATAAAAAAAAATACGTAAAAGGCTGGTGTGTTTATTACGCTTTGGCTTGTAGCCTCCCAGCTTGTGATTGCAATCTGTCTTGTGGTTATAAATCCTGTAACCAATAGGGTTCTCCTTTAGAGGTTGTCTAGAGCAGGGTTTCCTCGTTGTAGCTTTGAAAGTATGCAAAATCTTGAGGCGCCCCAGTAAAAAATGGGGTTCCGTCACATCAGAATCCACACAGTTCCCCACACCTTTCACGTCCGAGTCCTCAGCCCCTTCCCCCACCCCTTTCACATTAGAGTCCTCAATTCCCCCTTTCCCACATTAGAGCCTTTAGCCCCCATACTTCACCTCTGAAACTTCAGTCATGCCCCCCCACCCCAAATTTTCACATCAGAATCCTTTGTTTTTTCCCCCACCCCTTTCCCATTAGAGTCCTCAATTCCCCCTTTCCCACATCAGAGCCTTTAACCCCCATACTTCACCTCTGAATCTGCAGTCATGCCTCCCCACCCCAAATTTTCATATCAAAATCCTTCGTTTTTTCCCCCAACCCTTTCATATTAGAGTCCTCATTTCCCCCTTTCCCAAAATCAGAGCCTTTAGCCCCATACTTCCCCTCTGAGTCTTCAGTCATGCCCCCCCAAACCCCATCTTTTCACATCAGAATCCTTCATGTTTCCTAAGTCCTAAGCCTGTCCCCCTTCTGTTTTACATCAAACTCCTCAATCCCCACACCTTTTCACAAGGGTCCTACCTTCCAATCTTCACTACCACAGCTTTGGCAGCATGGTAATGGGAGAGAGGTAGAGCAGGTCTAAACAGAGGTGGGCTTCCATCCCCTTATGAGTGCTGGGGCTGCCCTGAATGCTTCCCACCCTGAATTATCGTCATGTGTTTTCGTGTTTCTGGTGCCGGCCCGTCTGCATCATGGAAACACACGGCGCTGTACAATAATACCAGATGCAGCGCGGCACATCTGACAACCCAAGAAAGCGGACCAAGGTGAAGCAGCATCCAGGCTTAGAAACGCTGATCTAGAGTTCTGAATTAGACGAAGTAAGCAGCCTGTCCCCAGATAGCTCTCTAGTGGCGTCTGGTAGTGGCTTCCTTAGTGGCACAACATGGTGTAAGCCTCTACATGTAAGCACGTAGAAAACTATTGATGGTGCACCAAATTTTTGGCACACAAAGTGTAATATTAATTAATAAATGGAAGTAAAAATGATTATTAATAATAAAAGCTGAAGGGTTTGAAAACTAAAATGTGCCTAGTGCGCCAAATATTAGGAAATCCTTAAGTGTGACATATTGCACAAAACTCACATGATCTCTGCAAATAAATAATGGCTTAGAAAATACATTTGTCAATATTTAGCACAAGAGAGGTGTGCAATACTGTGCCAAGAGGATGCAGGCACAAGACAAAATTACATTTTATATGTCTGTTCGAATGTGTTTTGAGTGCAATTGTAGATTTAAGTATGCACGTCAGTGATCTTTTCATGGATAACAATTTAAGGTCGGTGGCATTAGTGAAATGGAGTCATTTATTTCCTTCCTGCTATCAACCCTTTCCAGCTGTTGGCAGTTTTCTTCTTACTATCAGCCCTTCCCACTTGTTGGTAGTTTCCTTCCCGCTATCAGCCCTTCCACACCCGTTGGCAGTTTCCTTCATTCACTTGTTGGCAGTTTCCTATCAGCCATTCCACACCTTGTTTGGCAGTTTCCTTTCCCGCTATTAGCCTTTCCACACCCGTTGGTTTCCTTTCCACTATCAGCCTTTCCACACCTGTTGGCAGTTTCCTTTCCGCTATCAACCCTTCCACACGTTGGCAGTTTAATTCCCGCTATCAGCCTTTCCACACCCGTTGGCAGTTTACTTTCCACTATCAGCCTTTCCACACTTGTTGGTAGTTTCCTTTCCATTATCAGCCCTTCCACACCCATTGGCAGGTTCCTTCTTACTATCAGGCCTTCCACATCCGTTGGCAGTTTCCTTCCCACTATCAGCCCTTCCACACCCATTGGCAGTTTCCTTCCCGCTATCAGCCCTTCCACACCCATTGGCAGTTTCCTTCCCGCACCCATTGGCAGTTTCCTTCCCACTATCAGCTCTTCCACACCCATTGGCAGTTTCCTTTCCACTATCAGCCCTTCCACACCTGTTGGCACTTTCCTTTCCGCTATCACCCCTTCCACACGTTGGCAGTTTCATTCCCGCTATCAGCCCTTCCACACCCATTGTCAGTTTCCTTTCTGCTATCAGCCTTTCCCACCTGTTAGCATTTTCATTCCCACTATCGACCCTTCCACACCTGTTGGTAGTTTCCTTCCCGCTATCAGCCCTTCCACACCCGTTGGCAGTTTCCTTCCCGCTATCAGCCCTTCCACACCCGTTGGTAGTTTCCTTCCCACTATCATCTGTTCCACACCCGTTGGTAGTTTCCTTCCCACTATCATCTGTTCCACACCCGTTGGCAGTTTCCTTTCTGCTATCCGCCTTTCCATACCTGTTGGAAGTTTCCTTTCTGCTCTCAACCCTTTCCACCTGTTGGCAATTTTCTTCCAGAACTTAGCCCTTTGCTAACAGGTGGAAAGGGTTGATAGCAGGAAGGAAATTGTCAAGAGGTGGGAAAGGCTGATATGTCAAACAAAAGAGAAAAATTCCAGGCTTAACTTGCCAACCAGCCTGTAAACAAACCGAATTAACCTGTCTAACAGTATGCATTAAAAGCGAAATTCGTAAGAACACATTAAATACATGTGCCTCTACTATGGGGGCTCTCAAAATTTGTAGAGTTAGGAACTACAGAACATTGGGGTGCCATGACGAGACTCTGTAGCTTATGCATGTATTTGCAAATGTGTGCCAACTAAACTCCTGTTTTTAACACATACTGTTAGACAGGTTAATTTGGTTTGTTTGCAGGCTGGTTGGCAAGTTGAGCTGGGGAATTTTTTCTCTTTTGTTGTTTGACATGCGTCGCCCTTCCATGTGCTCCTTGCTTTGAAGGCCAGTTATAGACTGGGGCAGTGGCCATTTTTTGTACTGTTGAATTGTTGGTGAGGGGGTGCACTGGACACCTTAGCTGCCATTGTGCTACATGCTGGGTGTACAGAGCGATCCTGTACCTTTAAGGAGGGGTGGGCTTCCTCAGGTCCACCTGCCCTTGCTCTATTCATTAGATACATGTTCCTCTACTATGGGGGCTCTCAAAATTTGTAGCGTTTGGAACTACAGAACATCGGGGTGAGGTGATGAGGCTCTGTAGCTTATGAATGTATTTGCAAATGTGTGCTAACTAAACCCGTTTTTATTGCATACCACCTGCTGGCAGCTTCCTCCGATCTAGCGTTCCCCTTTTAACTGTGTACAGTCTCCTCCCTTTTGTTACACCCCTTACAACTGTCTACATTTTCCTTCTACCTGTTGGCAATCTTCTCCCTGATATCAGTCCCCTCCCACCTGTCAGCAGTCTCCTCTCTCATCTACTGTTGTCCTTTGGATAATTGGTCTAGGAAGACGTGATTTAAAGTATATGTGAACTCCTACCCATTCAGTTTAAAACAGAAATTTAAGAAGTTATATTATCAATATCAGGGGTTGGGTGGGGGGGCATGTCTACACATGTCTTAGCGATTGGAAGACAGGCAGACTGTGCTCCCAGCACAGCCAGAAAACTGACCACGCTAAGATGGTGGTTTCAGTTTGAAATAGGAAAGCAGAGGGACTGGCAGGATTACCAAGTATTTCACACAAACGAAGCAATACAAGGAGAACAGGATGCTTTTTAATACATGGTATCATACCCATATCAGCAACATGAAATATTGGTGTAACATACACTTTAAATGGAAGTCTTTCACAGTGATATTCCTAAGTAAATCCGCGCATAAATACTAACTATAAAATGTAAAGCAGCCACTTGTGAAACTGTGATACCAGTCCTAAACATAAATTCAACAAAAAGCAGCACTATATAAATGCAATCAATGTAAATGAATATTTCAGGTATATGAATACAGTGCATACTGGTGTGGGGTTCCCTATGCTGAGCTGATGGAGTCAGTGGATGGCACTTACAGGCATTTATAATTTGATGGTCCATCTTTTCTGGTAAGCGGCGTCTAACAACACGTTGCACTTGGTGTTGCATTTCTTCTACATCACAACACCTTTTTTATGAGTGACTTTTTGCACATAATCTGAAGTGGGCAGTGCTTTTTCAAGCATGTTTATAATTGGACTGATTGGCCTCACTTTCTTTTGACAAATTGTTGCTTTTTTGCACTTTAATTTCTAGGTCCCACTATATGGACTTTATTTGCACTTTATGTTTATGCACTTTAATTATTTTATATTATTATACAGTATTTATAAAGCACCGATAGTTAGCTAAGCGCTGTACATTACAAAGGGGGACAGAACATGTGACAGAACAATAACAATACAATGCAAAACATGAGGGGATCGAGGGCCCTGCTCTTTCGAGCTTACAATCTATTTATTTATATACTTGAAATATTCATTTACACTTATTGCATTTATAGAGCGCTGCTTTTTGTTGAATATTTCTTTAATAATGAACTTCAAAACAATATTTGATGACTTTGTCACACCGCCTGATTTGGGCACACTTTTGCTGGTCAAATTAAAAATCCTATGAATGTAATTTATTTTCACGTGTTGGTGTGCTTGCTGCCTTGCGTCTTCAACATTATATTATAATTGGTTTTGATTGGTACAAGCAGCCAATCTTGTGCACTTAGAGCTAAACTGAAAGCAGATGTAGATTTAGGCCTCATGCACACAGGATGTTTTACAAATGCTCCTCCTCCAGGCAGCAGCATTTTGGCAGAATAAGTGCCTGATGCTTCTCAAAGTGTCTAACGCTTTTACAAGCATTTAGGCGCATTTACAAGTGTCAAGCGTTCATTTCATTGGCCAGAATAATAATTTATTCTGTCCATTGAAATGAATTAATGCTCAAGCACCAAACGCGTCTAGCGTTGACACGTGTTTACATGAGCCAAACGCTTTTTCTGCCAAAATGCTGCTGCTCCTGGACGCACTAGCCTTGGGGTTTTTTTCCTGCTGGTAAATGCTACTGCTACTAAAAGCTTCTAAAATGTGCATGGACACATAGTATAACATGGACAGCCATTTGGAAGCAGTAAAATAATAAAAAAAAAAAAACAGCGGACGCCCCTAAAAGTGGCTGCAAAAAACGCTGTGTGTGCGTGAGGCCTAGGTTTCATGCAGTAGTGAAAACACCAACTAGGAAAACCAAGCCTCTACAGGCTCTAGCACAAGGTACACTGCTAAGCCCTGGAGTTTAGGCAAGAAGATATGGCTGCTTCACATATATTTAACTAATGCACCTGTTTACTTACATTAACTGCTTCCCCCTGCCCTACAGTAGAAGAACTGCTACAGGGCAGCAGGGCTGCGTAAAAATCATGTATATATACGTGATTTGCATTTCCAGGTAGGGGGTGTGCGTGCCGCCCTACCCGCGCCGCCACTGGTGGCTAGGCATGTCAATCACCAGGTCCCGGCTGGAGATTTCCTGCCAACACCTGGCGATCGGCGTGCAAAGCGGACAGGAGAGAGACCTGTATGGAAACATAGGTCTCTCTCCTGCCAGCAAGGGCATGCTGTTTTGTATTTCTTTCCAAGGTAAAACAGCACACATTGTAAGACACAGAGCACACAGTTAACCCTTTGATCGACCCAGATGGTAACCCTTTCCTGCCCAGTGCCATTAGTACAGTGTCAATTATTTTATTAGCACTGATCTCTGTATTAGTGTCACTGAGGATGTCAGTTGCAGTTAGTCAGTTCCCACTTAGTGTCAGAATGCCCACTGCAGTCCCGCTGTAAGTTGCTGATTGCTGCCATTACTAGTATAAAAAAATAAGTAAAAAAATTCCAGTATATATACACCGCCACTTGTAGACGCTATAACTTTCACGTAAACCAATTAATTTATACGTATTGGGATTTTTTTTTTTCTTTAGCAAAGACGTAGCAGAATACATTTTGGCCTACATTTATGATGAAATTTTATTTTTTAAATTTTTTTATTGGACATGTTTAATAGCAAAAAGTAAAAAATAATGTATTTTTTTTTCAAAATTGTCGGTCTTTTTTCGTTTATAGCGCAAAAAATAAAAACCGCACAGGTGATCAAATACCACCAAAGAAATCTCTATTTGTGGGAAAAAAGGACATACATTTCATTTATGTACAGCGTTGCATGACCGTGCAATTGTCAGTTAAAGTAACTAGCCATCATACTGCTCTGATCACACCACATATGTAAGTCACAATACATGAGTGCCATGACAATAATACTCTCTGGAAAGTACCTGTGCTCGCATGTGCCTCCTGACTTGGTCACAGAACTGTTTGTACACATCTTGCCAACATGTGGAGATCCATTGTGAGGCTCCGTCTGTGCAGGGGAGTCGGGAGGAGATACTGGTGGGAGCATTGGGAACTGGAAGTGTGGGTTGGTATTGGTAGGCTGGTCTCTAGAGTTGGGCATTGCTGGGGAAGTGCCTACAGACTGGGTAATGATCAGCTCTGGGTCCAGAACATACAACTCATCCTGGCAGATTTCCAGTACAAAATTCAGGTGCTCCTAGAAAAGAATGGGGAAACATAATAAGATGCTTAGATACATTAACCTCCATTTCAACAGTCCTGTAAAGTTAAAAAGTTTATTACTTTACAATATATCCTTTTTTTAAATACAATCATGTCTAGTGATCCAACCAGCAAGGTGCATTTCCAGGAGCTTCTTTTACTAGAATGAAAATACTTGATCAGTTCAGCTGCAGAATTGCCACCCTTTCTGGTACACACTGGACTGGCAAGGCTATAGTCACTGTTGTAATAAGGACATTCAGCTACCTCTGAAGTGCATACAGTATATGTCTGCAGGAAGATCCTCCAGAAAGTCCACAGAATGTGCACAGTGGTGGGAGAGAAACATGACCAAAATACGGGAATAAATAAGTGATCCAATCCTGTTTTACCTACAAGTCCATCTACAAAACTAGGTATTCTTTAGTTAGAGTTTAGTTCTATTTTAACCTCTATTTTTCTTTTAAAGGAGTTACATAGAGTGACTATAGGCACCTGGGTTACATGTAATACACTCTGGGGTCCATTTATAATTGATACTGATAACACAAAACCTGCTCACTATTATACTCTGCATATCTATGCACGCCACGGCACACAATTTTTGGCTGATCTGTAAAATGTGGGCCACAGTGTGGTCCCCCATGGAGTTCCCTCTGCAGATACAATCCCATGGGGAACCACAGGCTCCGTGACTGGAGGATAACCAGCCATGTGACTTAAACATATGTGATTGGGCCCAGTTTTTATTCATTTATTATTTGGTCCTCCCATTCACTTTTATTATTTTAGTAACAAACCTGGTCAGATATGCCCTCCTCTCTTCCTCTGCAATACAACTCTATGTGTGGACGCTTGTGATAAGGGATGTAGCTATGCAAGCACAGTGCACTGGAGAGGGAGGGCAGGAAAGAGCCTTTTTACAAAAATTAAATAAATTATATATATTTTTCCAAGCAAAAAACAGTCACAAATCAAAACTTGTAGGGATACAGGACTACAACAAGATAAAAAAAAAAAGGTATGAAAGTCAATGTGGGCTTTAAAGGCAAGTCCAGGTCTGCAGTGTCTAAGCATATGCCCATCTACAATCTGCAAACCTACCTAATAAGGCAGTGACAGAGGCATTCTCAGGTTGTCTACCTCTGCCCTAATTACTATTTTTGCACCACCCTTGGGCTATCCTGTAATAAGCACCCCTGAAAGATTTCAATTAAGCTTCTTACCTGTGCTCGATCAATCCTATAGAACCTGTCTGCAGTGGTGGCTGCAAGAAGGAAACAAAACCAATTCATGTTTTTCAAAAAGAGATGTTAGAATCATTACACTCAAGAAACAAAATTGGAGGTTTTAAATACAATGCTACCCCATTATCAAAACATTTGCCACAGCAACCAAAATCATTCTATCTTTTATATTCCAGCCTGCTGTGAAGACTAAAAGGGAGAATCTGGCTGGCTGCTGTTGAATGCAGACTATGGATTAGTGTAAAGTAGAAGCATTATGAAGGTTTAGACCAGATAAAGCTGAATGCATTTTTAAAAATACTGCAAGAATGCACATGCAAGAAAAATGAATATATTTCTATGAGCACCATTACGATGCTTTTACGTGCATTTAAAAAAGTGCAATATGCTGCACTGCTGCACATAAATGTATAGAACACAAGTAAATGCACTGCAAATGTATGTAAATACAGCTCGGTAAAAGAAAAAGCATAATGCTTAAAAAAGCATAGTGCAAATACATTGCAAACTTGCAACATTGTGTATAAATAATCATTGGAACTGCACCGATTGCAGGGACTGCAATGGAAATGAACCCTTAAGGGTAAACTTTCTTCTCCTTTTTGTCCATGTGACTATTGCAACTAGGGCAGAGCGTAACGCCACATTTCTTGGTTGACAGCTATACCAAACCCCCCCCCCCCCACTTTTAGAGATCTCTTCTACTTCCTGTTGTATTACTACAGCCATAAGTGGGGAGTAATTTTCCCAAGAGGGACACAGATAGCACTAAATACCTACCAGTGGCTTCCTCAACACTCTATTCAAAGTTAAAGCCCCACTCTGGTCCGCTGTCAAGTGTACCCATGCAGTGGGATCCTCTTAGAACTGCATGGGTCAAACATTATTTTAGCCAGTAGTGAAAGAAATATGACAGTACCTTATTTCTCATTCCCCTGTAAGCTGGAGCTCTCCTGCGCTCCCTGATTGTGAGCAGGTTCTCACCATCTTCATTTATAATGAAGGACTGCTGCTCCTCCATTGTACATGATGATGTCAGAGAGCTGTGGCCAGTGGAGCAGCCAACTGAAGCGGCTTTGGGGGACTGGCTGCACAGAAAACAGGAAGTCTGTGGGAGTGAGGAATAAGGCATGTATACCTATCCACACCCCCAAGCCAAACGAGCAATGGAAGGGGGGGGGGAGGCCTCATTGCATTGATACATTTACTGGAATTGGTGTCAGCGGCTTGAGCCTCAATGTAATTTGCACAGTTGCACGTCTTTAGGAAGCTTCCTGAAGATGCGAAACTGTGTAAAATGCTTTGAGGCTTGACCTGCAGATGCCATTTCCGGTTCCACTGATGCCCCATCTGGGGTTTTGGAACGCATGCAGACCATGGGAAGAGACCATGGGAAGAATGGCGGTGTGAAGCAATAAATCCCCCTAGTGAGCTGTCTGGGTGGGGTGCCCTGTGGCACCATTACCATGTGAGTGCAATATATTTTATTTCCTATTACGGTTTTAATAAAGAAGTTGCTGCACCATGATTAGTCTCTCTGGCCTTTTTCTGAGACAATAATTAAGAATAGAAGAGGTGGTGTAACACCATTTGATTGGAAGTCTAAGTAAAGATTCTACAGGATTATACATCGCATCTGAAGCATCTGGGCTTTGTTTTCAAAAGCGGGTTGGCTACTTTGTGGCCAAGTTGGTCTGGTGGGTCCCCATTTTGGCTACACTTGGTGGTGGAACACAGTTTTGGAGCTGCGGGATCTGAAGATTTTTTGGACTGTCACATTCACATTTGGATGTAATGGGATGCAGATCCGCTCACATCCAACTGTCCACAGACTAACACTGAGCTTCTGTTCAGATCCGCCTGAAACACTGATAAGCTGATCTAATCAGAACACATCTGGAATGTGCAAGAACTGAAAAGCTACATTTAGACAGGTGCACTTTAATACTCACAATCCAAGAAGCACCATTTTGGGGACAGCTTTTGCGATGACACAATTTGAGGTTTGCTTGTTCCATCCTCCTGAGTACACAGCAAGAAACAGCATTAGTAGAGTATAGGAATTTTCTAGGAAAGCCTAATGTCAGCATACAACACCAAACACTACAAGAAAAGCACGCACATAAATCCAGGTAACTAATACAATACAGCGCTATATTAGTACTGGTTTTCTATTGCTATTCCTGCAAGACAGAGCTGCGCAGAGGGAACATCAATAGCCGTATTTTTTTTTTACATCCGCTATTTTATTACAAAAAAAGTAGGCCCTGTTTATGTAAAAGATTTATACAGGAGAGTGTTAAAAGGGTAACCGAAAATTTACCCTAAAGCCCTTATCCTTCCTCACTCCCCTCATCAAACATGTCCATCCAATGTCAGATCATGCATACAGAGAACACTCTGGTCACTGCTTTGGCATGAACAGGGCAAGGTACCATTTCTAGCCTACAGTGTCCTGACTTACCTCTGGTATGCCAGGTGTACCCAGGTTGGTCACAGGAAACAAAGGTTTACCCTAATCAAACATCATTTTCCATGGATAGATCTGGATCATACTCAGCATACCAGAGATGACTCCAACAAAGCCACAGAAATGATAAGAGTTGGATTCCTGAATCATGTATGGGGCAAGTTTGATGTGAAGGGTGTAGGGTAGAAGACGTGTTTTTTTTTTTGGGGGGGGGGGCAAATGTACCAAGGCAACTTTTGTACCAATTTTAACCAGATTTCAATTTCAAGGCAACCTATCACCAATGGTTTGTATTCTTTCCTTTGATAGCTAGTAGGTTGACTTGATCCTTTTACTTGCTTTGTGAACAAAACCTGGTTAGAACTGCCACATAGCTGCCCATTTATATGTCCCAGCATTACCTTTAAAAACAAACCTGAGCTTTGCCCATACAAAGACACAGGTATGCTTTAACATCCCCTTTGCCCAAGAGGAACATACACACCTTTCCTTGGCTCCTGCTGTTCCTTTCAGTCATCAAAAGTAAAGAAAATCCCCAGTGCTTCCATGTATGAGGAGCATGTGACAGTGCTGGTGCTTAGTGATTGGGCCAGTGCTGGCACATGGCAGGGAGAGACCTCAGCTTTGTGTAAGCTGTGCCTGGAGTGACGTGGAGATTGTACAGGGCTTTCTTTCCTCAATCCATGTGGAAGAATGGAGCAGTGGGAATAAAGTGAACGTATATGCTGCCAAGGAGGGGGGGTTTGCCCTGTATGGGCAAAGCACAGGTTCACTTTAAAGTCTTCCTGTTTGCTCACAGAGAGGAGCTGGGCAGTCCAATAACCTCTGCGTGAGAGCTTAAGGGTGTGTTAAAATGAACAAAGCATATGCTTCTATTGTGTGTACTTGCCTCAATCCAGAGTACCCATTGTCATTTCTTTCTGCTGTCTCCTTCCTCTGCTATCTGCATGAGTCCATGCTAACAGGTTATGCAGACACCAATCCTGGAGATGGCCCCGCCCTGCAATAGGAAGAAGGATCAGCCGCACACCAGAGGATAGATGAATATAGTGTGTATTTATTGATCCATAGGACACTCAAAACAGCAGGACATGAATTACAGGACTTGTTAACACGTTTCACACGATCTCGTGCTTAATCATAACCATTAATTAATTGATTAAAATGATTAAGCACGAGATCGTGTGAAACGCGTTAACAAGTCCTGTATTCATGTCCTGCTGTTTTGTGTGTCCTATGGATCAATAAATACACACTATATTCATCTATCCTCCGGTGTACGGCTGACCCTTCTTCCTATTGCATCGAGCCAGAGCCTGCACCTGTTGTGGATTGGTCTGGATTGTTTGCCTTAGCGGTATACCTTTTGTTCTTTGGATTCAGATGGCCCCGCCCTCCCAGCACACAGCAGGTGATTGACAGCCCCAGCTGTCCATGTCTCCCTATAAGACTGTGTAGAGGGGGTGTGTCCATTCCCTCCACTGAGGTCTCAGATAACACTTCGCTCCCCTCTCTATTCTGTGCAGTGTGTGACCTCAGATCCCTGCCCCCTGGCTTCTGGAGCTCAGAAATAGTCTTTGGTCTCGTTTCACAGGCTGTAGAGAAGAGAGGGCTGCAGATAAACATGTACAACTAATGTAGGAGGATTAGTTTATCTCTGTGTATCAACGGAGGCCAGTCACTTCACTGGGTACATGTAAGGGTTTAAAACCCCTTTGGGCCTGAGCCCCTATCTGAAATCAGCTCAGCAGACTAGCTGCCACTGGTGGTGCTACCTTAGATATTTTCTGAATGGATGGGCCACCCATCACAACATGCAAATTATCCCTGTTTTACCTTTCTGCATAAGTGACATGAAAGGGAGGTTGGTTAGCTGACAAGGGCAACAAGAATAGGTTGCAATTTTAAACAAAGACCAATATCCCAAACACTGCCATTCCCCTAGATGAAGAAGCCAGAAGATGAAGTGCATGAGCAGAGGGAGCTTACACGCTGCATGTACTTTTCACAGAAGGAAGCACACAAGTCACTAGCACATATGTTGCACAAGGCACAAAGGAATGGCACACATTTTAATAGTTGGTTCTAGACACACCTTTAGGTCGAGACGCTGTAATATTGTGGGGTACGCAGGAAAGTCCTGGAGAGAAAGAGTCATATCATCTTATCCCCAATATCTGACAGCTTTCATATTCATAAACCACCACTGCTATGCACCTTTTCATTTTATCAGTTCATTTCAAAGCAATCAATTACCGGCAGCCTGATCTGAAAGTGCAGCAGGTGTGAAGAAGATGCTTGTCATTCTTTTTACTTGTAATTCACAAAATCCTCTGTTGGCATCAAAATTCACAATAGAACCTATGCAGCTTTAAGTGTCACTTACTTGCTCACTGAACTGTAAATGAAAGATGGGGTACTCTATGCTCTCACCTACTCCTGTAAACTGCCTCAAGTAGCGTGGAAGGAAAGAAAATCACTCGATTCCCCCATCAACACAGTCAGTGTTGATGGGGAATGCCTCCCACGGAACTATTTTGTTCTGCTGGGCGGGAGCCTTCCCGGCCAGCAGAACACAATGATCCCTGCTAGCGGCTATAGCTGCAGACAATAATTGCATACAAAAAATCTGACAGGCTTGTTGTACTGAAGTTGCCCATAGTTGGATTAAATCTCGGCCGGAACCTTCTGAACCAGACGAGCTTCGATCCATCTATGGCCAGCATAATTTCTCCTCCTCCAGCACCCAATGCCTGAAAGTATGCTAGTTTAAAGTTGCCCATACACAGTCCAGTTTTTTTTTTCATTCAGCCAGTGGGTCTTTCAAGGTAGATGAGGGAATCCTCCCTGCTGTGTCAGTGTATTCTGACAGTGAGGAGACTCCCCCTGCCATGAGAATACACTGATCCGAGCTGCAGCCACTTGGCTGCGTGCACTAATCGAAGCAAACTTTTCCAACAAGCCGGTTCATGAGAAATCAGTCAATATATCGACTTCACATGAACAGGAACAGCCAATCTGTTTCATGTGCTGATTGGAGCATAATTTTGCAACAAACCGGGTAATGAGAATTTGGTCGATAGACTGACTTCTCATGAATGGGAATGATCATAGATAGATCAAAATTTGTCCGGTTCCTGCTGTACAAAAGAAAACTGAACCAATTCCCAATCCGAGGTGGATGAGGGAATCCTCCTGCTGTTTCATTTGTAGTCTGACAGCAGGCATCCACTGCTGTCAATGTACACTTATCAGTGTTGCAGCTGATTGGATGGTTGTGCTGATAGAAAGCAAAATTTTCCAGAAGGTTCATAGAAAATCAATCAATAGATCGACTTCTCATGAATAGGAATGGCAATAGATGGATTATAATTCAGTCAGTTGCTGCTGAACCGGACAAATTTTGATCCATAAATGGCCAAATAAAAAGTATTGTTCAGAGAAGTAGAGCCTGATGGCCTTAGAACTGAAGTTTTTACACTGGGAGGCAATAAATAAATAAGTGCTGGGAGGCGAATAACTTAATAACTGAAAAAGAAAATACTACAGACATATTTAGGCATTTTCTAAATTTAATATAGGGCTGCTTTTTATATCTGCCTAGAGCTCTGTTAGTAGCTTTTTTTTTTTGTGCTTTCTAGGAAGAGAGTAAAAAATTTATTTTCACAGAAAGTGAAGATTTCTTTAGGGTAAACTGTTGGTTGGGCTGTATTTCCGGCATCACCACTGCCGGTTCCCTATTGAGCATATGGGATTGTGCGCCAAGTTAAATACATTTAAATCCATCTGAGATGACCTCAGCGCTCGGAGGGGAGTTGGGGGTTTGATGGAAGGAATAAAGTGGCGGTCTTGGGATGCTGCCATATAAAACAACTCAGTCTGGAATAATCTGCAATACAAACTATTTCCATGATGTCAGTGCTCCAGAGTGACATGTCTGCACAGAGGAAAGTGGCATTCGGTATGGCGGCTAGCATTCACTATAAGCACTCGCAGCAGTGATTGAATGCCCAGGCACGATAGGGACTGCTAAAAGAACTTTTTTTTTTTTTAAACAAACTTTATTATAAAAAAAAACCTGGTTTGGCTGAGTGTGCAAACAAAGGATGATGTGCAAAGTGGTGCCAAGGATGGTGTGCAAAGTGGTGCCAAGGATGGTGTGCAAAGCGGTGCCAAGGATGGTGTGCAAAGCGGTGCCAAGGATGGTGTGCAAAGCGGTGCCAAGGATGGTGTGCAAAGCGGTGCCAAGGATGGTGTGCAAAGCGGTGCCAAGGATGGTGTGCAAAGCGGTGCCCAAGGATGGTGTGCAAAGCGGTGCCAAGGATGGTGTGCAAAGCGGTGCCAAGGATGGTGTGCAAAGCGGTGCCACGGATGGTGTGCAAAGCGGTGCCACGGATGGTGTGCAAAGTGATGTTACCAAACGACCCCATTACATGAATACTAGGGTTTCTAGAAGAGCAATTATATAATACTCAGGTCATCTCTTATGATTAAGTCAGGTGACAAAACATGTCAAGGGAAGTGATGTCAGGCGCATAGAGGAACTGGAAGTGATCCGGCGGCCATTTAAGAATCTGGCAAAACCTCATAGAAGTCCATGTGGAGGAACTCTGAGAGGTTTGGATTTTCTGATAAAGGCTATTTTAAAGAGGAATCATGATGTAAGAATATTCAATAAAGTATTTTAAATTGTATACGCGGGTTTACACTATGATTTATTCTATATATGGCGGCATCGGTGGATTGGTGGAGATTCATGGTTATACTTGAAAGCTACTATATCTGGATGACATCTTGATTTGATCCATGAGGCTGTGATGATCCTTTTGTTTAAAGCAGAATTTGTGATAATACCCTCGCCGGGAGGTGTAAAGGCATATTATTTACATATTTTTGGTAAGGGTATTCACTCCTTACACCATAGATGTGGACACAGTGTTTCACAGGTTGTTTTTGGATGCATATTTTTCACTTGATTGATTCACTGGCACTGTTTTGACACTTTGACTTTTTTCACCATTTGTGATCACGCGTGGTTGTTTGCGTTTATCACATCTGTTTTATTTATATTTTATTTAAGATAATGCACTGCATGTGATTTTCTTTTTATGTTGAGGTTTCTTTGTGAGCCATTGAAAGGCTGAATATGAAGATTGATGATTGAAGTTGGCACAGAGTGACTTTTTATAACATTATTTATTTAATTTTATTTCTTATCTATTTTTGGACGGTTACATTTAAATTTTTTTTTTTTTATATATATATATATATTTGTGTGATATATACTTTTGGGAATATATTTGTGTGATATATACTTTTGGGAATATTGGTATTAGCATATTCATATTCACAATCCTCAGGTTAGGACCACTATTACTAGGCTTCTGTTCTTAGCATGTAAATAAATTTTGTTGAAGTGGCTTGCATCTGCACCACCTGCATTTGAAGAGTGGCAGACAAATGTTAATTCTACCTTGTCGAAAGAGAAATAAATCATGAGACAGAGAGGGACTCCCTCTAAATTCAGTAAGATTTGGGACCCTTGGCTACAGATGCCAGGTTTGCCCCCTTTAGCTCTTGTATCCCTGAGTATACTGCAATGTTAGTTGTCCTGTGATCTTGACACTTGCTTGGAGATATATGGGTATCACAATGCCAGACTTAGAGGACACCACTAATGGTAGAGGGACCCGAAATGTAGCGGACATAATCTAGGCACCTTACCCATGGGCAAGACATGATGTGGGTTACTACACTGTATTTCATTGGGCTTTGTCCAAATTACTCGTATATTTTGCTAATTCCTCACCATAGGAATTAGCAAATTAAGTTAGAAAGGTAATGTGATTCTAACATGTTTTATTGCTACATGATACTAGGGATATAATATTTTTTAATTCAGGAACTTATATAGTGCCGGCAATTTACGCAGCGCTTTACATATATATTGTACATTCACATCAGTCCCTAACCCTCAAGGGGCGTACAATCTAAAGTCCCTATCTCACATTCATACATACACATACTAGGGCCAATTTAGACAGGAGCCAATTAACCTACCAGCATGTCTTTGGAGTGTGGGAGGAAACTGGAGTACCCGGAGGAAACCCACGCAGTCACAGGGAGAACATGCAAACTCCAGGCAGGTGGTGCCGTGGCTGGGATTCGAACCAACGACCCTAGTACTGCCAGGCGGAAGTGCTAACCATTTAGCCACTGTGCTGCCCAATAGAGAACTGTTTGATGCCATGTCTAGCTTTGACCTTACTATATCTATGTGTAAATAAAGATATTAATGTCTTATGTGAGATATGTACAGCCAGTGTGTGGGCTGGTTAAATTTTTTGGTTTGGTTTTGTGGTTTGTAAACTGTTGGAAACTTTAATAATAAAGTATTTGGGAAAAAGAAAAAAGTATACAGTACATATGGGGCATATAATAAAGATCCTTGGATGGTGGTTTTTGAGTTCCACTTTAGGACAAAGTACTTTGCACATCATCACTGCTCTTTGCCAGCCCTCTGGGGTGAGAAAGAAGCTTATACAGTCTTACAAAGCACAGTAAAGATGAGCATTAAATGACTCATGGTCCAAGTTGTGAGCATCATGGCAAATTATCACCTGAAAAGAAGAGAGCAGCCGCTGGAAGGAACCAGGAGTTAACTGTGTAGTTAAAGAGCAAATACCAGTTTTGTATGGCTCAGGAAACAATTATATCCATATATTGAGCTATCTGTAGAAGTAGCCAAATAAATACTTTTTGTTTCAACATGCGTTACTGAACTGAAGGGCAGGGAATCTAACACATAGAAAGGGTTAAGACTTTGCTTTAAAATAAACACCGAATCTATTTTTAGTAAGTTTGACATGAGATCCCATTGTATATCGTTTATGACTCTGTTACAAAGCTTCATAATTAGAGATCCTGCCAGAAATAGCACATCCTGTTGCTGACGGCCAGTGCTATGTCATTGCTTATCAAATTGGCAGCAGTGCGTTAGCCTGTTATGTGCACTCTTTTGGTTGGCCATTGGCCTGCCTATTACACTGTTCAACAGGTAAAAAGTTTTGGGCATAAAATTAGCTAATCTTACATAATTTTGGGGTGCTGAAAACCGAAAATGACCCTAAAAAATGTTGATTGGCTCTAGTTTCCATGATATATTCACCCATCTAATGACGTAAGCCATTCAAAATTATGATGCAACTTCAGCTGCATATTGCGCAATTGATACTGGTGACCAATAAAAAATTGCATGTATACTGAGATGATGCAATATTAGCCTTTAATTGCATCACTTCACTGCATAAAAGCTGCAGTATCTGTAGCTGATTGTAGTTCGACAGAGTCTTTACATTTCGTTTTATGCTTATATAGGCTACTCAGTAATGCCTCGAACTTGTGTGAATAAAGAAGATAATTTCTGCTATATCTGCGGTGAAATAACTTTTATCTCACAAAAAAGGAGGATAACAGGAATGATTAAGAAAGCCTACAACTTGTATTTTGGCTGCAAGATAGGAGACCAGGACAAGAGCTGGGCACCACAGATATGCTGCAATTCTTGTGGGACGGCACTGGAGCAATGGTTGAATGGAAAAAAAGGCATCTATGCCTTTCGCTGTGCCAATGATTTGGAGAGAGCCAACAGATCATGTTAGTAATTGTTACTTTTGTATGGTGCCTCCAATTGTAAAAGGGCTAAATAAGAAGAAAAAGTTATCTGTGCACTATCCAAATATTCCATCGGCAATACGGCCAGTTTCCTCATGGAGAGGGGCTACCAATTCCTAAAGCACCAGAATCCTTCGTGGTTGAGTCAAGTGAGGAAGAACCTGAAGCGTGTAGTCACGTGCAGTTGTAAGAGATAGCCCTTTCCTCGAATACAAGAGAAAAGCCAAGAGAAGCAAAACCGACACAAACTGAAGACAAAACTAGTGAGAATCCTAAGTATTAAAATGATTCAACTTAGCTTATGGCTATAATTTTTCTTGGTAATCCTATGCAATTATATTATGCCATTTAGGCTTTGTTATGTAGTCAATATCACTTGCTTTATAATTTGTGGAAAGACATCTATCTATATAATTATTGTGCATTATGTAGTCATTACGCCTATAGTAGAAAACTTTCCGTTTACAGAAAAACTAGAGCCAATTGACAAATTTCATTGTTATATTTGAACTCAGAATGTGAAATTCATTAAGAAATGGATCCCTTTTGTTTCCAAAACTGGCAAAAAATAAAAATTTGTTGAACAGTGTTATTATACAGGATTTATATAGTGCCAACAGTTTGCGCAGCACTTTACAATATAAGGGAGACAATACAGTTCAATACATTTCAGTACAGAAGAAATAGGAGGGCCCTGCTCGTGGAGCTTACAGGTGTCACCCATCCTCTGGAACTCCCTGCCCCCAACCCATCAGATTATCACCTACTTCCTCTCCGTTAGGCGCACCCTGAAAACCCACCTCTTCAGGGAAGCCTACCCCACCCCCTGCTAACTTGCCGACCTCCTCCACTCTTCCTACCACTCCATCCCCCACAGCTATCTCCTCCTGTGCCACCATCCCCTCCCTCCTAGATTGTAAGCTCCAAGGAGCAGGGCCCTCAATCCCTTCATGTTTTGCATTGTATTGTTGTTGTTCTGTCACATATTCTGTCCCCCTTTGTGATGTACAGCGCTGAGCGAACTATTGGCGCTTTATAAATACTGTATAATAATAATAATCTAAAGGAAGGTGATACAAAAGGTGATAGCTGCGGGGGATGGTCTGGTGGAGGTGATTCAAGTACAGTTCTTAGGTGGAGGTGGGGTAGGCTTCCCTGAAGAATTGAGTTTTCAAAGATCGCCTAAAGGCAGACAGGGTGGGGGCTGACCGGACATGCTATGGTAGGGAGTTCCAGAGGATAGGTAGTTGCCTATCTGTTAGGTAGCCCAATAGCCAACTGAAGAGCACACACAGCAGGCTGACATTGCTATTGCCAATCGTGAGGCAGCGGCTTAGTGTTGTTAGCTGAAAAGCAGGAAGTGTTGTTACTCGTAGGATCCTTTGGTAGGAAACAATCTGCTTAAAAAAACTGTGCGGTCGATTTACTAAAAACAAATAGACTGTGCACTTTGCAAATGCAGCTGCTCCAGAGCTCAGTAATGAGGGGAAGTTTCACTTTACCAAAAATATTCAATCATATGCAAGGAAAATAAAAAAAAAAAAAACAGCATTTTGCTTGCACATGATTGGATGACGGAAGACAGCACAGTGTCCCCTTATTTTATAGGCTTTAGAGCAACTGCACTTGCAAAGTGGACCGTCTATTTTGCCTTTAATAAATCAATCCCTGTAGGTGGTAGGACATGACATATTAAAAAATAGTTTTAGAGTTTACAAATGCTTTAATGGAAAGGTGGTACCTTACTGGTTTGTGTGCTCAGTAGTATAGATCCACTATAGCAGTTTTCTGGAAGAGCAGTAATTTTGCAGTGGAAGACATAAATGAAGATTGGTAAAACACTACATTCTTGTGTCTGTGTGTGTCCATTAGTGTCATGTACAGGTCTGGTCTAGGTCAGAAGGCCCAACATTTTTACAATTGAGAATGTTTATGTCTGTGGGCAACAAGCACAGCAGGGTACACACGTAGAAAAAATTCAAATTGCATGGATTCAGTAACTGAGCACGGATAGGGCATGTGCATTCCGTAAACACAGGGCTGACAAATATGTGTGCGCAGAGTGTCCTTACCTCCTGCAGCTGCTGTATGTGGATCCGACACGTCTCAAGATCGCTGTCTCCAGGAACCACAATAACTCCCAGTGGGAGAGCTGCAATCACCAGAATAGAATTAAAACAGGGAAAAATGGGGAGAGAATTAAAGAGGATAAAAGGGGAGGGAGAGCAGGAACAAATAGAGGAGGGCGAGAAAAGGGGGGACTGAGAAGAACAGGGGGTGGACAGAAGTAACAGAAATGAAGGGTACCAGGCAATGCTTTAGGAAGGGAAAAATATTTTGCGTTCAAATTCCTATTCGCTCTTACTGAATAGGAATTCTGGGTAAGTGACAATGTAAATGGCAGCATTATAAATAAATGGCCTGTAAAGCATAAAGCAGACTTTCCACTTTGGTAAAGGTCTGCTTTTTAAGTGCCCCTCACAAAAATGCAGCATACAGTTGAAGAAGAAAAAAAATCTGTAGGGGGTTAAAATTATAGAAAAAACTGATAAGGTTTCCATACGTAGGGGGTATCTTTTTCTTATATCCTTAGAAACGGTGAGTGCTCTGAATCTCACAAGAAATGCACACATTTTCAGATCTCACATGTATGTATATATATATATATATATATATATATATATATATATATATATATATATATATAATATACACACACACACATATACACACATATACACACACACATACATATATATTTATATACATATAATATATATATAATATATACACATACATATATAATATATATATATTTATATATGCTATATAAATCCTGTATAATAATAATAATGATGTAGCCCTCACCTAGGTGCTGTGTGTGGAAATCTGGGGATACGTGAACATACCATTTAAGTACCCCTATACAGGTTGTTTTTTAATTTGTATGCTGCCTTTTCTAAAAAGGGATTGGGAGGGGGGTTTTTATATTGTAGACCTTGCATGTAAGCTTAAAGCGGAGTTCCAGTGAAACTGTAAAAAAAAAAAAAAAAAAAAAAAAAAAAACAGCCAGTGACCTGTCCCTTGATCCCGCGATGTACTCCTTGCAGCCCATTTCACCGGCCGTCCTGTGTTCCCGGCGCCGGCATGTTCAGTGTGGGCACCCAGCAGCGACAGCTTGCGGCTTCACAGCTAGGTGCCCACTGAGCATGCGCAAGTAGCGCTGTGCTTTCTGATTGGTCTTGTGGGTCTTCTGGGGCCTGTCACATGTCCCAGAAGACTACGGGGAGGGAGGGTAGAAGGACAACTTCCGATTACCTAGGCGATTACAGCGGAAGTGGGAACAGGTACCTGTCAATCTCGGGTACCCGCTCACCCCCCCTGCTCCCCAAAGGTGCCAATCCTTAAAGGGGGGCGGTGGACCAGCCCTTAAAGGGGAACTTCCCCTTTTGGGTGGAGCTCCACTTGAAATCATTGGGGTTGAATTTACTAAAACTGGAGAGTGCAAAATCTGGTGCAGCTCTGCATAGAAACCAATCAGCTTCCAGTTTTGTTTGGCAAAACTTAATTGATGAAGTTAGAAGCTGATTGGCTACCATGTACAGTTGCACCAGATTTTGAGTGAACCAGTTTTAATAAATCAGTGTTCTGCCCACCAGGAAGGCTCCCTGCAGGCAGCTATTTTCTTTCCTTACACCCATGGTGGAAAGAAAGAAAATAAAATCATCTATTGGCTTCCTAAGAGTCAAAGTAACATTCTTTTTCAGGATGCATGAAAGCTAAATAATGAAGTTATGATCATGATGATGACGACTGAGTTTCCATCTTTAAATACAATTCAAAAGTAACAGCAACAGCAGTAGAATCCAATACAAATATAGAAAATGCTTTGTTTAGAATAGAGTTCCCCTTCAAGCCATTTATAACAGATTATACATTTATATGAATTTGTTGGCTATTTTGTGATCCTGTACTGATTTAAAAAGGCTTTGGTTGATTTTGAACCAGTTGTTCATGTATTTATCAGTAACAGCTTGAAAAAAACAACAAAACAAAAAAAAAAAACAATTCCTCTGTCCACACAAACAAGGAGGATAGATGTGTCCTTCCCGCTGAGGAATCCTCTGCTGTCAGAATACACTGATTAGCGGCTGCCGCTAATCAAGAAAAGTTTTTTCTTTCTAACAATTGACTTCTGTTGAACGGATACAGCTATACATGGATCCGAATTCGGCTGGTCCCTGCTGACCTGGATAAATTTTGATCCATTTATGGCCAGCTGAACAATGTTAAGTGGTTCTAAAGGATCAAGGTTTTTCATATTCATGCATCATATGCATGAAGGTAAAAAACCTTCTGTGGGTGGCCCCCCAATCCTTACCTGAGCCCCCCAGCAATCCAGCACTGTTCACAATAGCCTCGGATGTATGGGGACTCTCCCTCCTCATTGGCTGAGACATCAGTGGGAGCCCATCAGCTCCTGCTGCTGTCAATGACAGCCAAGCCGCAGCTCTATGTGTCTTATGGACGCCTAGAGCAGCGGCTCAGGAGCGAGCATGTAGCAGGGACCCCAGAGCAAGCAACTTTTCCTGGGGGCACTGCTCGAGGGGAAGGAGCCAGGAGCATCGAGGGGACCCGCAAAAAGAAAAGGATTGGGGATACTCTGTGCAACACTACTGCACAGAGCAGGTAAGTATAGATAAGTTTGTTATTTTATAAAAAAATATGATGATTTATATATTTATATAAAAAAAAAAAAAAAAAAAACAAGCTTTAATATCACTTTAAAGAAAATATATACTATGAAAATAAGACCTATGAACAGTAAAGGGCAGGTAGAGTTACAGTGAAGCTAATAAAAGATACATCAAATTACCATGATACTCACAGGCTTCCTTCAGCTTCTCCTTGTCATAGTGCAAAGCCTCATAGTCATGCATGGAGATGCGGTTAACTCGAAGGCGCAATCTGTCAGGGACCGGCTGCTGACTGAGGGACAGACACCGACATATTTGTTAGCATATGTGCTGAATCAAAATCTGTTACTACTAGGTTTATATTTGGTTCTCTAGACCCATAGTAATGATTTTAAAGCCAGGTCTTTGCATGAGTAACACTATATTGCCAAATATTTGTGAACACCTTAGCTTGCTAGTCATCCCATTCCCAACCATAGGCATTAATATGGAGCTGGCCTCTGCGGCTGTTTCAGGTTCTATTCATCTGGCTAGGCTTTGAACAATGTGTCTGTGAGAATTTGTGCCCAGTCAGTGATGATGGATGAGAAGACTTGGTCCACAATTGGTGCTCCAATACATTTTAAAAGTGTTTAGTAGGTTTGAGGTCAGGGCTGGCTTTGTGCACAGAGACACAGTCATGCTGCAACAGAAAAGGGACTTCTCCAAACTGTTAATAACTATGAGACAGCACACACCCACCATAATACAAAACCCAATTAAGTTGTTTCACAATCCTTCCCCTGAAGTACAAACATAAAACATATAAAAAACAGACTTAAAATAAATAAATCAATAATAATTCAACCCAAAGTCCAATAAAAGTCCAAAAAGGAAAATATACAGATTAAGTCCACAATCTTGATAGATAGATACACACTGATTCGGATCCTAATGATAATCGATGATGAATCCCAGATACTCTTCATACACCTCAAAAAAATATAAACCTAAACATAGTGTATTATCTTAGGTCTCATAAAAAGTGCCCCGGACGTGTTTCCGTCCCTGTTGACAAAGTCCAGATGTGACGAAACGCGTCCGGGGCACGTGACGTAGTGACGCATTGACGTTACCGGAAGTGCCTCGGTGGCCATTTTGGATTCTGAACACATGGTTGTCCATATCCCTGGGACTTCCAGTTACCATCTGGTTCCCCTCTAGAGCTGAATGTCCATCTTTTTGGAGCTACTGTTGAATATCGCTGCTGTATATACAGCTTTATGACCTGGAAGCTGATTTTATCGGTTTTTAATGTAAGTTGCTGTAATAAAATTTGTATGTTATTTGATTCAAACGCTGATCCCTGGTCTGTTTGTGAGGTCTATGGGAAGTGTCTGGAGAAGATGATGTCATTTGGCGGAAACTCCATTCTTACTATGGATTCTATGCTGGTTTCATTTATTTTGGGGTAATTATGCACTTTTATTGTATTGTTTGCAGTGGTTTAAATTGTGTATATTTGAATCCCTCATGATTGCTGTGGCACTTTAGTGTTTGCATGTTGCACGTGTGGCACTTTTTATGAGACCTAAGATAATACACTATGTCTAGGTTTATATTTTTTTGAGGTATATGAAGAGTATCTGGGATTCATCATCGATTATCATTAGGATCCGAATCAGTGTGTCTATCTATCTATCTATCTATCTATCTATCAAGATTGTGGACTTAATCTGTATATTTTCCTTTTTGGACTTTTATTGGACTTTGGGTTGAGTTATTATTGATTTATTTATTTTAAGTCTGTTTTATATGTTTCTCCAAACTGTTGCCGCAAGGTTCAAAGCACACGATTGTATAAAATGTCCTTGAGTCTTTGAGCTGGAGTTCCTAGATCTGATCACCTACTGCAGCCAACACCTTAACCCTGTTGGGTTCTTTATTTTATTCTATGGGGAAGGAGCAGGATGAGCTGAACACACAAAGGTAGGTGGAAAGACCCAAAACTCCAAGGTGGACAAGAACAAGAGTTGAGAATATGGCATGGAGATCTCACTGTTGGAGTATCCAAGATATAAGAAGTCGTGGACTGCCTCAGATCACCAATCTCCACCTATAGCCAAAATATCACTTTTGAGTGGACTGACCATTCAAACTAATTTACGTGACTTTTACATTTTATTTTATTGATGTACCATATTTCTATTACTGTATTAAAGATTTGTACTTTATTCCTCTAGCGCAGCCTCTCTCAACCTTTTTTCGCTGAGGATCCATTAAAATTATTTTCCGGTCCCAGGAAATCCCAGCTAATAATTACTTTAACTGCAGCTTCAGGTACATTAGCATGTTGGTTACAGGGTGGAACGCTCCTTTCATTTGTGGTCAGTGTGAATAATTCCCCCTCACAGGCTGATAAAAAGATAATTAGTGTTTATGGTATCTAGAACACAGAAATTGCTTATTGCGCAAGGAACCCCTAGAGACCTCTGGAGGAACCCTAGCGGTGAAAGGCTACTCCATATTTGTTTTCTCCTACAATCTCGCAGCCTCCCTGCATAACATGCTGAAATGAAATTACAACCATATGCTTTCAGACGGTCAGTCCTGACTGATGGTGTTACTCTTCCTCTAAAAGGAAGCTCCATCATTTTCAAATAAAAAATAAGTGTGTGCATCTCCTGGAGCAAGACATCTTTACTATGGCCTTGTGCGAGTAGCTGGAGAAGCAAGGCACTATGGGAAAAAAATGACAAGAGTCTCTGAGTGATAAAAGAAATAGCCATCACGTTTACTCAATGACCCATGCCTACTTAAAGGGTAATTCCACTTTTGTGGGGAAAAAAATTAGCAAATAAAAAAAATATATAATATAGCATACACAATTGCAACACAAGTCATATTTTAATTGAATGTTATTAAAAATTACTTTTCCTTTTCTGTTTCAATATATTTATTGAATTTTTCAGGGCAAACATGACAAGCTCACAATTTGCCCACACAGGGGTGGAGCTAAACAGTTACATGTAGAAACAAGTACAAGTAGGCAATGTATAATGGTAAATCAGCAGAGTTTTAACCATTAGCAAGGAAGACAGAATAAACTCTCCAGCGCTTCAAATGCCAAAGGAAAGCCAGGGGAACCAGGACCAAAGTCTCCTATGGATAGCCTATCGGAGATGCTGCTCTCCTCAGATAGGGAAATCAACAACTGAAAAAAGAGCAAACAGGAGGCGCAAACCCCTAGTGCATTATCCAAGGTTTATTAAAGGTAAATAGGTTGAAAACATACTCACAAACATGGCATAAATGTAAAGTTTAGTAGAACGGTAGAGATGGCCATGACAGTGGTGGGGTGTCCGACTGTCAGTATGGTCGGCTTCCTAACGCGTTTCGGGGACCAGCTCTGAGGAAAGTGACTTGTCCCCGAAGGAGAGAGAAACAGGGGAAAGAGAAAAAGCCAAGAAAGGAAGAAAGTATCACAGACCCAGGACCAGCGCGGGCAACAACTAGACCCAGGACCAGCGCGGGAAACAACTAGACCCAGGACCAGCACGGGAAACAACTAGACCCAGGACCAGCACGGGAAACAACTAGACCCAGGACCAGCACGGGAAACAACTAGACCCAGGACCAGCGTGGGCAACAACTAGACCCAGGACCAGCGTAGGCAACAACTAGACCCAGGACCAGCGTGGGCAACAACTAGACCCAGGACCAGCGTGGGCAACAACTAGACCCAGGACCAGCGTGGGCAACAACTAGACCCAGGACCAGCGTGGGCAACAACTAGACCCAGGACCAGCGTGGGCAACAACTAGACCCAGGACCAGCGTGGGCAACAACTAGACCCAGGACCAGCGTGTGCAACAACTAGACACAGGACCAGCGTGGGCAACAACTAGACACAGGACCAGCGTGGGCAACAACTAGACCAGGACCAGCGTGGGCAACAACTAGACCCAGGACCAGCGCGGGCAACAACTAAACCCAGGACCAGCACGGGAAACAACTAAACCCAGGACCAGCACGGGAAACAAACTAGACCTAGGACCAGCACAGGAAACAACTAGACCCAGGACCAGCACAGACAACAACTAGACCCAGGACCAGCGTGGGCAACAACTAGACCCAGGACCAGTGTGGGCAACAACTAGACCCAGGACTAGCGCGGGCAACAACTAGACCCAGGACCAGCGCAGGCAACAAATATAAATGACCATAACTGGTTGAAAGTAAGGAATAGCTTTTCCAGGGTTCCCAAACATTAGGAAACTTTGGGTATGAGTCCTTAAGAATACTAGACATCTGCTCATTGACCATCATGGCAGTCATCTGGGTTTTCACACCCCGGAAGACACCCAAAGGAGTCTTACAGGCTTGAGCTATAGTATGTTTGGCAGAGATGAAAAGATAAAAAGCCAATTTCTGTTGGGGTGAAAGGGTCCGGAATAAGGCTTACCTTTCCTTTTCAATCTGTAAAATACAATACGGCAACCTGGAGGCATTCTTTGCACAACTGGAGTACAGAATGCCCCCCAGAAATTTAATTTTCTGCTTGTATGATTGGTGTACTGATTTTCCCACAAGTCTACACTAAGATAAGTCAGATTATGGGCATCCCCTGCAATAAAAATTTAATTTTTGGTGAGATACTCTCAAATGGAAATCACGTTATATGGATGCAGACCCCACCACTTTCCTTAGAGCCCTGCAAGTTCTCAAATAGAAATCACATCTAAAGGGATGCAGACCCCACCACTTTCTTTAGAGCCCTGCAAGTGTAGCAGCTGATTGATAATTATGAAATCACTCCCATACAGATTCACTCTGCACATGGACACAGACAAACAGCTAGTCCTTTACAAATGAAAAGGTAGGAATCTGCAAAAGAGTTTGTTGAAATCCTTTCGATGCGCATAGATCATACAGAGGGGAATGTTTTTTTTCTCAACAAAAGTGGAGCTACTCTTTAAAACAGAAATGACAATTTTCTGTAGAGTTGCCGTTTGTTGTTTTGTAAAGCATATTCTCAAATGCAATGCTACTTACTCATTGAGCAGAGGAACCGATGTCCTCCTCTTCGTCTTCTGGATAAGGTTGGCCTGATTCCGAAGACTAATCTTCACTACAGAGGGTCCCAGTTTGCACGGTTCACCGTCCACCTGCATGGGAATAGACTTATACGTCCGCAGAAGAACCTCACGACATTGGTGCAAGCGCTCACCGTGACCCCCAACCTGCAGAGCTGCCTGTGGACACAAGTGACAGATTCAGGCTTAAATACAGGTGTATGTGTGACAATAAACCTGCAGATCTTTCTCCAGTAATGACAAGTTGGGAAATGTTTGCAGTTTCTTATTTTAACTGTGTGCTCCAGAGATCCTATACAACTGTTCTCCCTGTCATACAGAGGTGGTGCATGTATGGTAGAAGCCAGGGGAGGACTGACCATTTGGAAACTCGGGCACTGCCCGAGGGCCCGGGGTCAGTAGGGGGCCCCATGAGATGCCCCTGGTACCCTTTTCATAGGTTTTTTTGAGTTTGGGAAAGGACACAGGGGCCTCATGATCCCCTATTGCCTGGGGGCCCCATGAGTTGTCAGTCCGCCCCTGGTAGAAGCAAAGGGAAAGACTGTTTGGTAACCTCAGAGATTTCCCACCATGTTCTTGTGGACTCAGGTGGGATCTTTGGCCTAAATGATACAAAGAACATAACTGTATCTCGTGGCTAAGTGGTTAGCACTTCCGCCTAGCAGCACTAGGTTTGCTGGTTCGAATCCCAACCATGGCATTATCTGCCTGGAATTTGCATGTTTTCCCTGTGCCTGCATGGGTTTCCTCTGGGTACTCCAGTTGCCTCCCACACTCCAAAGACATGCTGGAAGGTTAATTGGCTCCTGTGTAAATTGGCCCTAGTATGTGTATGTATGAATGTGAGTTAGAGACCTTAGATTGTACACCCCTTGAGGGTTAGGGACTGATGTGAATGTACAATATATATGTAAAGAGCTGCCTAATTTGACGGTGCTATATAAGTACCTGTAATAAATATTTAAATCTCCCACTCTGTCCTCATTGGACAGAAGGAAACCCACCTGTATCATCACTTTGTACTGATGACCATATCCCCTACTACACCCTGGACTAACAGTGACATTGTGCTGCCAAACCCCAATGCTCCCACCAAAACAGAAACCACCATAACCCACTGGGATTCAGAGAGCACCACAATATTCCTTACACTGATGTGTACATACAGTATTTCCATGGAATACATAGAGAAACACACAGTGGTGGACATAAGGGTTCTCATGCAAGAGCACTTTTTGAGGACAAACAGAATGCCCACACATAATCCAAAATAACAATCAGCCCTGCTTCCTGCTCCAGACTAAATAATCACTCCGGAATATAGACCCCATTCCCACTTAGCATGAGTGCAGCCAGATGATTTACAGGCTTTCTTGCACATTTGTAGGTCCGACTCAGCAGTGTAGCAGAATCATAGATTTTTGGTGCCATACACTTTAAATGGGGGTGCTTAAAAAATGAAGCGTAAACACACTTTTTTAAAGCATTTTTCAGGCACTCTCAAAGACCGTGGGGCCAAAAAACACATGATTCTGCCCCAAAGAAACTCATGTACTTTTCCAGCTTTACACAACAGGCGACAAAAAACACAAAAGCCGGCCATACATGGACTGAAATACGGCCGGTTCAGCAGGGACCAGCCAAGATTAGATCCATATATGACCGGGCTCATTATACAGTACCAAAGTTGATCCATCAGTCGAATTGGGTACAACCAGCCTATCAGATTTTTTTTACATACTATTACTACCAGCGCTTATAGCTGGTAACAGTAATCATTGCTCCCAGTACCCCTACCTGACAGTGTTGTTGGGGGGATCGAGCAATTTTCTTTCCTTCCACCTGTGGTGGAAAAAAAGAAAATCGAGTCATCTGTGGGCTGCTTTAGTTGTGAACGGACCCTCTAAGATAAATGGGATTCTTTTTCTTGGGCGCTGTCACACTTCAGGAATTGCATGGAAAAAAAAAACCTCTGGTGTGAATGGGGACTTACAGCCAAGCACCTGCAACCCCCTAGACCTACAAGAAAGTAACAAGACAGAGGGCACCACCATCTAAGTGTAGCATGTATTTATAATAACGTTCTACGCTTAGATGGTGGCGCCCCCTGTCTTGTTACTTTCCTGCAGTTTCCATACACAGAGGATTATCAAATACCCTGTATCAGAGGAGCAGAAGTCATTCTTAGAAGTGACTTTTAAAATAAGCTGTGCTACATATTGGACTTTAGTGAACCCATATGTTTTTATAATTTCATGTCTTACTCCGTTATGTGCCATATTATTTTAAATTCTACCTCATAAACCTGTCTGTCTTTCTCAACCCTTTTAACATGGAGGAACAATTGTTATAACGGTCAGGTCTAAAGGAACCCCTGGTAATAACAAAAATTACTATATCCACAGCTCAGGGTACAATAGTGAGTGGTGGCCAGTAGGAAGAATGCCCCTTAAATGGTGGCCAGGGGAAAGAATGCTTCTTACATTGGCGGTCAGTAGGAAGAATGCTCCTTACATTGCATCTGTGACTTTTACCTCAATGTTTAATAAAGATGATTTACAAGAAAAAAGACCAATGCCGATGTTTACGTTCCAGTTGGATATACAGGGCATACGGGAGCTCTTACTGCAGTACCTCCTACTGCACACAGATATTGGATCTGGCCGGGTTGAGCACAGTGAGTTCTTTTTGTGTTCCCTTATATGGTGATCAGTGGGAAGAATGTTTCTTACATTGGTGATCAGTGGGAAGAATGTTTCTTACATTGGTGATCAGTGGGAAGAATGTTTCTTACATTGGTGATCAGTGGGAAGAATGTTTCTTACATTGGTGGTCAGTGGGAAGAATGTTTCTTACATTGGTGATCAGTGGGAAGAATGTTTCTTACATTGGTGGTCAGTGGGAAGAATGTTTCTTACATTGGTGACCAGTGGGAAGAATGTTTCTTACATTGGTGACCAGTGGGAAGAATGTTTCTTACATTGGGACCAGGGGAAGAATTCTCCTTACATTGGTGACCAGGGGGAAGAATTCTCCTTACATTGGTGACCAGGGGGAAGAATTCTCCTTACATTGGTGATCAGTGGGAAGAATGTTTCTTACATTGGTGATCAGTGGGAAGAATGTTTCTTACATTGGTGATCAGTGGGAAGAATGTTTCTTACATTGGGGACCAGGGGGAAGAATTCTCCTTACATTGGTGATCAGTGGGAAGAATGTTTCTTACATTGGTGACCAGGGTAAAGAATGTTTGTTACATTGGTGATCAGTGGGAAGAATGTTTCTTACATTGGGGACCAGGGGGAAGAATTCTCCTTACATTGGTGATCAGTGGGAAGAATGTTTCTTACATTGGTGATCAGTGGGAAGAATGTTTCTTACATTGGTGACCAGGGGGAAGAATTCTCCTTACATTGGTGACCAGGGGGAAGAATTCTCCTTACATTGGTGATCAGTGGGAAGAATGTTTCTTACATTGGTGATGAGTGGGAAGAATGTTTCTTACATTGGTGATCAGTGGGAAGAATGTTTCTTACATTGGGGACCAGGGGGAAGAATTCTCCTTACATTGGTGACCAGGGGGAAGAATTCTCCTTACATTGGTGACCAGGGGGAAGAATTCTCCTTACATTGGTGATCAGTGGGAAGAATGTTTCTTACATTGGTGATCAGTGGGAAGAATGTTTCTTACATTGGTGATCAGTGGGAAGAATGATTCTTACATTGGGGACCAGGGGGAAGAATTCTCCTTACATTGGTGATCAGTGGGAAGAATGTTTCTTACATTGGTGACCAGGGTAAAGAATGTTTGTTACATTGGTGATCAGTGGGAAGAATGTTTCTTACATTGGGGACCAGGGGGAAGAATTCTCCTTACATTGGTGATCAGTGGGAAGAATGTTTCTTACATTGGTGATCAGTGGGAAGAATGTTTCTTACATTGGGGACCAGGGGGAAGAATTCTCCTTACATTGGTGACCAGGGGGAAGAATTCTCCTTACATTGGTGACCAGGGGGAAGAATTCTCCTTACATTGGTGATCAGTGGGAAGAATGTTTCTTACATTGGTGATGAGTGGGAAGAATGTTGGGAAGAATGCTCTTACATTGGTGATCAGTGGGAAGAATGTTTCTTACATTGGGGACCAGGGGGAAGAATTCTCCTTACATTGGTGACCAGGGGGAAGAATTCTCCTTACATTGGTGACCAGGGGGAAGAATTCTCCTTACATTGGTGATCAGTGGGAAGAATGTTTCTTACATTGGTGATGAGTGGGAAGAATGTTTCTTACATTGGTGACCAGGGGGAAGAATGCTCCTTACATTGGTGATCAATGGGAAGAATGCGCCTTACTTTGGTAGCCAGTGGGAAGAATTCTCATTACTTTAGTGGTCCATGGGAAGAATGCTCCTTAATTTAGTGGTCAGTGGGAAGAATGCTCCTTACTTTAGTGGTCAGCAGGAAGAATGCTCCTTACTTTAGTGGTCAGCGGGAAGAATGCTCCCTACATTAGTGGTCAGCGAGAAGAATGCTCCCTACATTGATGGCCAGTGGGAAGAATGCTCCCTATATTGGTGGCCAGTGGGAAGAAATGCTCCCTACATTGGTTGCCAGTGGGAAGAATAAGCCCCTTACAGATAACTAAAAAGATCAATGATGTCAGTGGTAACTTACCTGATAGGTAGAAATTGCTCACTGCCCAAGGAACCCCTAGCAATATCTGGAGGAACCCAGGGGTTCCACAGAGCTCTGGTTGAGAAAGGCTTCTCGAAGAAAAATGACCTGCTAGAATTCCCTTCCCACCCACTTACAAACAGCTACAAGCAGTGTAAACCTTTCTAGATTTACAAGCAGCTACACCCCATTCTTCAAAATGGATGGGCACAGCTTTTTATCCCCAAAACAAAAAGATCTTTACACCAATTACAACAGCATGTCCACTTGCGGAATGGAAAAAATATAACAGAAGAAAAAATGTTTTTGTCTGTTTGTGCATATTGAGGACTTTTTTTTGTAGCTGTTCAACCAAAGGGCCAATCTTTTGTTAGTAAAAAAAACTCCAAAACTTTAAAAAGAGCGGAGTATTACAAGTCTCCTGCTTTGCCATCTAATAGCAGCACTGCCATCTAGTGAAAGAAGCTACTTGCTGACTT